TTTATACATGTTGAAATAAATAAATTAAGAACTTTCACCAACAGTATCTACTTTGTACTCTATATTCATTAGATCTCAGAAGTTACTTTTTGTGGGTAGAGTACAAGACAGTTTACTAAAGTGTGAGTTGTGATACTCTCACAAGAATATTACTTAAAGGTATAGAGGGCGATATTTTACTTCCGGGTGGATCATCTAAATAATCCGTCCTCCTAATTGTCAATCCTTCTGGTGATATGTTTACATAAGGCCGCCCTACGTGCTCGTCCCGTCAGCTATCTTTTTCTGCGAATGTGCACTTTTAACGCCATATCTGTGGTTAGCTATGGTTTCAGACAGTCACTGAAGCTCACCTTTATCACAGTGGTTCTTTGAAAATGGCTGAAGGTCGTAAGAGAAAAAGTGTCTACGAAGTGCATGAGAAGAAAAGAAAGGCCTCAGAAGAGGCAGATATATCCAAGAATGCTTGAGCGGAGAGCTCTCCTTGCAAAGCATTATGGGACTTGTTGTCACGGTGGCCGACTGTGGTGACTAATAACAAAGATGGCACAGGCACTGCGCAGTGGAGGTGGACTTACGTGACCGACAAAGCAAAAAATCAGTGATCATCTGTCTGAACAGTCAGTTATGCTATAAAGTCCACTATATAGTCCCTGCTGTACATGGACACAGTAAGCTTTTATGAGCTATGAAAACAGCCCATTTTAAACAGGGCTTGCATGAGGAGAAATGGTCTCATGCATGCTCTTGCACGCGCATTTTTTTTCTAAAGTGGAGAGTCTTTTAAAACATCTTCCACAGTAAAGTACAACTAATCCTAAAAGTAAATTATTTTAAAAGTTGCTGTAACTGAGAAAATGCAGCTACCCACTTCTTGTTATTTCAGATATATCAATTATCTTTGTTTCTGTCCATTTATTTTCATCCTTGACCTATAACATTCTGCTTTCTAGTTTTATATTTATTTAATAGTGATATTTACTGCTATTCCTTTAAATAAATAAGCTAAAATACATTGTAGCATTATCACTTTTTAGTGTATTAAATAGTAAAAGAAAGCTTTCTAATGGAAATATTTAGATAATTTCATATGTTCAATGGGAGCTCCATCCATTTGAATTTAAAGTAGCATGGTTTAAAATGTATGCATGATTCCCTTTAGAGTGTTCCACATTCCCTGTAGATTGCAACTGCTGGTCCTACAACACTAGAACAGTAAAAATGATATCAGCATTTTCTGTGGCAGCATAAGAAATACACACACCATTATAAGCTCTTTCAAGAAACAAAACATTCAATTTCATGTGCATTTCCAATATACTAATGATTTAACGTCATCCCAATGTGGCTTTTTTTAGGGTTGGCTTCTATCATCTCAATATGATTGCATGACATAACTCAAAAGGTTTGTCCAACAAATACACAATTAATTTGAGATCCCTGTGAGCTCTGATGGAAACAGTTGAGGCAAACTGTGGACATATGCTACTCGAGGGTGGACTTTTATGGATCATGACCCATCAGCTGCAGAAAGGCTGCCTCTGGCTATATGCCAGTATTCCAGAGAGTAAACTGAGTCAGGAAACTTCTCTTACAAGATATGATAGCCTCTTTCAATTTATTTATTTATTTATTTATTTTATCTCCTGACAGTTGTTTTCTGACAATTTATTAGATGCTGTGTCAACAATTGGCTTGGACTTTTGTTTGGCATAGTTTTGATTACAATGTTAATAATTGGTTGGCAGCTTAAGTAAATTATTTCATTTCCTGTTGGCAGTAAAGAGCTCAGAATAAATTGGCATTACTTGTAGACAAATCATTATTTTAGTTCTAGAAACATCAAATGAACAATCTGTCAAAATACAGTTCTGTTTGTCTTAAGGTGGTTGTTTTATTTGTTCATCAGAAAAGTGTGCAAGCAATATGTATATTCTCTGCTAATATGTAGTCCTTCTTCTGAGGCCTGCAATAACAGCTAACTGTGCAGATGTGTTTCACAGCTCATTTGAAGTGAGCATGTCTCTGTGGTCATGAGACTGTTGAAAGATCAAGCGCTAAAGTCCAGAACTAATGTGGAACAGCTGTAAAATGCTTTGAACAACACAACATCACTGACTCAGTTGACCAGTTATGATCTAGAAAAAGGCACAAACATCTCTGAGCCATCCCAAGCTGGATAAAGCTTAAAAATAGCATGGCTCAAAGTCTCTTGGTTTTTATCAAAAACGGAAAGAATACCTGTTTTTCATTTATTCTGCTATATCGTTAACATAGGTGCTGAAACACACTATTTAAACAAAATCAAACATCAAGCAATGTATGTAATTTATTTTTCTATGAAGCCAAATAATCTTCAGTATTTTGTTGTTGCTCTCTGTACTGCAGGCACTCTGTTGGACTGAAACAATTAGAATGATTAGCTAGCTTCTTGCTCTAAGAGCTGAATACATAAATGTAGCTACTGGGTGTACAGACCTTGAGTGACACATAGATACATACTCGATATTACACACAAAGGCCCCTAATTTTTGATAGTGAAATTAGAAAAGCAGTTTTACTCCGATGGCAAGACAGGAGCACACTCATACCCTCCACACACGCACATCTCTGTTTTAGGAGATTTCTTAAAATACAGTTCCTCTAGCAAATAACAAATATGTTTAAACCTAGTGTTGAGTGGAGTGTTTTTTTGTACATTTTACAGTAGGAAGAATTGAAAGGCAGATTTCCATTACAGTATGATTTGCTTACATTTACTACAAAGGTTTTTTGTAGTTTTAAAGAAACCTTAACTTGAGACAATTACAAGAGGTTGGGAACTAAATGCATTTTAACTGTTGACTCTAACAAGAAATGGAGACTCGAGTTTCAGACTTGGTTAAACTACTTAAATGTAATGGCAGTCATTCAAAATGGCCCTTCCCAGTCAAACGCCAGCCGAATGGCAGCCCACTTCCCTCCAACGCCCAGAAAAATTCCCTCCAACTTCCACCCCCTCCTTCTCCTGGGTGGCACATTTTTTTACTCTGGCTCCACACTTTCACTGAACTACAGGGTCCGAACAGGAGATGATGCTTCTCTTTTGATCTTAATGTCCACAAATCATGACAGAAAGAATATTTTAGTACAAAGATTTATGTTTAACACGGAATTGTAGGGGACTAGCCAATACCGGCTAAGGGCCTATTAAGGAAAGTTGGGACATTTTGAATGCCTGCTATTGTATTAGGACCGTCTAAAGACCCAAAACGTAACTTGGGCCTTTGCTCTGAGACAGGGTATTTTTCTTGTGTTATCAGGCCTGAAAGCTAGATGACATCTAAGCTCCAACCATGGAAAGCCAAGTCTTTCCAAAACACGTGAATTCTGACATGTGAACAAACGGCCCTAACTTGTATTTTGTACCTTATCAACATGTCGCCTTTTAATTGGTCACACTTTGACATGTTAAGAGCGTGTTGAGAATACGTAATCTAGGCATTGACAACACATTAACAATGTGTCCACTACTCTTTGATTTCATGTGATTATGAGCCATTCAGCCACTGAACCAGTTTGAACTGGTGAGTGTTGTTTTTTTCCCACTGGCTGCTGAGTAGTAGGGTTAATCTACTTCTTGTAAGCTGGGGGAGGTTTGCCTACAGCAAAACTGGTGTTAGTCACACGTTGTCTACTGTCCTAAGTCAAAAAACAGCAAGTTTTTTAAAATTAATTTCTGTCATTTATATTTTGTTTTCATGGAATAAAAAGGAAAAAAAAATTAAAATCAGATTTGGTGTGAAAAAATTAGGGGAATTGTTTTTGCCATACTGTCCAGCCCTAATTTAATCAGAATTTTGATTCATAAGAACCGTTCTTTTGTTAGCGACTCCAAATGGCCTTTTGGGCCGATTCTCCAGTCGTTTGCGAATTTTGTCGATCGGGCTGAGTTTCAGCCTTGTCATGTGTCCTGCATCGTGTAGTATACAGGGAGTAACATGGGGCGATTAGCCTCTCATGACCACCTCCTGACCAGAAATCATAAGGTTGGGAGAAAATCAAAGATATTCAGTCCGCCCTAGTGAGGTATTCGTATGCCAATCCTGCTGTTGAAGCAGAGATACAAGCTCCTACGAGCTGATGTACCAAAACCTTGCACACTGCCCATGTGCAAACAAGGGAGCTCTTTTCCTAAATTGATTAGTCCGACCAGTGCCTTCTATCGGGGCTGAGTCCGACGTATTTTTTTAGACATACAATGTGAGAAGGTTGATCGCATCAGAGCATCGGGCCATACAGTGTAAGAACATACATCGTGAGCTATTCACTTTTAAAAACTGCGGTTTTATTGTAGAGGTGGAACTGTAGCTGCGTACAGTGTGTGTCTTTAAAGTTTGAATGTGTGTACATGGTGTATGTCTATGCGTTGACCTGTGACAGATCAGGTACCTGTCAAGGGTTACCCGATACTTTCTCACCTAGACTGTTGGTGGTACAGTAGGCATTAGCAACCATGAGGCCTAGATACATGGCAAAAGACAGATCAATGGATGGATGCATGGGTGTAAGAAATTGATGATTGTTTTTACCTACCAACTTGGTTTCTCACCTGGATAGAGCTGAGAAATCATGGATATCTAGTATAGGAAAGAAAAAAATAGACCATGCTTTTTACATGGATGTTCAATGTATGATAAGGCTATCATTATAGGCAAATCAAAAACATCATATGCGTGTGCTTTGTTCAGATAGTCCCCTCTTTATTTCTTTTTATGGATTTAGGGTTTTGTTTAGGTCAGGTATGTATTTAGTGCCCCTATAATCTTAGGTATACTGCAGCAGTTGGGCATGTTACTAACTGCAAACTGCAATTTGAATTCCTAATTTCCTCTTATCCAATAAATGTAACAGGCTGCAGTCACAAGGTCCTACTTTGCCATATTGAGCTCATAATAGTAGATGTTGTAATGGATTTATGTTTGCTCTTTTATAAACAATTTTCTTTTTCTGTCTTTCAGAGAAATGCTCATTTTACTGTGGAAAGCAACTGGATCTAAAAGTTTTTGAGTATCTCCAAAAACTGGTTTTGGTGATTGGAAACTGGGCTTCTATTCTGTCAGACGGGGCCTGAAAATGCTTGGCTCATCTTCACAGCATTACAATCCAACCTTTTCTTTCACCTGTCGATAAGAACAATCCCCAGGATTGCCATCCATGGTTTCTGTGCTAATCAAGACTGTGTTACTCTATATTGAAAAGATTTGCAAAGGAATGTTTACAAAGAAATTGGCAAACCCAATAAAGAAGAAAGAAAGAAGTGAAAATAAAGAGCCCAAATTAGCCACTGATTTGCAAGCACACAATCTAACTCTCTCAACTACCCTAAAAACAACTGTGAAAAAGATTTCCAAATGCTCTTCGGCACGTAATATTTCGCTTGAAGAAGACGACGGAAAGAACGACTGCTCCTCCTTGTCACCCACTTTCAGCTATCGTGTAGCAATAGCAAATGGACTCCCAAAAAGTTCTCTTTTTCTAAATAATAATGAAAGTATATTTCCTGAGGTTCTTTCGATTGATAGCAGTTACTCTGACTCCTTGAGTGAGACAAAACCTGTCCGGAGACTAGATGAGCATAAATCGCACACTATGCCAGTGAGACGAAATAGGAAGAGCCTCATCAGTTTAGCTCCCTCAGACGGCAGTTCTGAGGGTGAACGGGTGGAACGCTCTAGTTTACATACACTTAGGCTGGGTGCTCTACGCAAGTTAAGAAAATGGAAAAAGAGCCAGGAATGTGTCTCCTCAGACTCGGACGTGAGCAACTGGAGGAAAACCTTGGGTATTCGCAGCAAATCTCTGGACCGCGCTGGTCGACAACAAAAGAGTTCTACGCTGGAGCCTGGCTCTTCCTCAACAGGATGCATCAGCCAGACGCAGGATGTAATGGAAATGATTTTTAAGGAGCTCCAGGGGATAAGTCAGATAGAAACAGAACTATCTGAGCTTCGTGGCCATGTAAATGCCCTTAAGAGCTCAATTGATGAGATCTCCAGCAGCGTGGAAGTAGTTCAGAGTGAGATTGAGCAGCTTAGATCAGGATTTGTCCAGTCCAGAAGGGAAACAAGAGACATTCATGACTACATAAAACAGATTAGCCATCAGGCAAATAATTCAACCTTGCGGTTTCTAAACGTTCCAGAAGAAAGATCAGAAAAAACAGAAAGTGTGATATACAGAATATTGAAAGAGAAAATGGGTTTCACTGATGCCCATAAATCAATTAAAATTGAACTTGCTCATAGGTTAGGGCAACAAAGAGAATGTTCTAATGCAAAACCTCGTCCTATTATTGTCATTTTTGCAACCCCACAAGACCGAGACGTAGTCCTTAAAAAATGCTACAAACTCAAAGGGACAGGGATTACAGTATCTACTGATAGCTTAACAAGTGAAGGAAAAGAGAGGAAAGAAAAAATACTATCATCCTCACAAACATATGAAAGCATGGATATAAAAGTCTCAGGAAAGGAGAAAGTTGTAGAAAGTGATGACTGGGATTCAATGGACAGTGATAAAGAACTGGATGAATTAAGCAGGAATAAATATGCAATGGTAATTTCAAAGCCAGTTCACAAGTCCAAGTCAGAGAAGAAGCGATCCCATGACCACAGCAGGTCGGGAGAGGTAGCAGGCTACTCAGGAACAGTGCACTATGCTGATGACTCTTACTATGAAACAGATAAGCATGCAAAGGCTTACTACTCCGATCTTACACCAGGATGGCTTTCACAAAGTGATTATTCAACTCCAAAACTTAGTCGTTCTGAGTCCGACTGTTCAAAACTTTGTCAATCATACTCTGAAGATTTTTCAGAAAGTCAATACTTCACACGAGCAAATGGTAGCTCCCTGCTTTCTTCATCAGATCAAGAACTATGGCAGAGAAAACAAGAGGACATGTCTTCCTCTTGGTATGCCAGCCCCAGCCACCCCCATGATAATCAAACCTATGAACATAATGAGGTTGAGACTACTGAGACTATTGATAGTGGGGTTAGCAATGGACTTGTTTGCATGTCTGGTGATCGAAGCCACTACAGTGGCTCACAGGTCTCATTACAAGGTGATCTATCTCCATGGAAAGACTGGCATCACCTGGAGCAGGGAGCTGATTCTGGTTTGGAAGCCTCTATAGAGGTCAGCAGCCCTTTTGATCCATCAACTATTCCTGGTTTTCCAGAGAACATTACCAAATGCCAGGAAGTTGATTTGCAGTTTGAAGGAGATGAGGAGTTTATGATGCTTGATAGAGAATCTTCTTTACCTTCTATTACCACCCATATCATCCCTCCCATCACAGAACGGGAATATGTCAAGACTTCTTCACGGCAATCAAAAGAGGGATGTAAGGCAGTCGCAAAAGAAAGCACAAAAATATCAAAAGAAGCCACTAAATCTGGTGCAAAAGTGACACCTAAACCAAGTAAAGCTGCCCCTAAAGAAGAAACTTCTAAAATATTGTCAAAAGAAAATGCAAAGGTGCCTGCTAAGGTTTCATCTAAAGTGGCATCTAAAACATCCACTAAAGAATTACAAAAAGAAACAATAAAATCTGCTGTTAAAGAAAGCTCTCAAGTTATCCATAAAGACAGCACTGTATTTACACCTAAAGAAACCACTAAAACTACAGGTAAAGAACTATCTAAAGTAACATCAAAAATAGGTTCGGGTGAAAATGCCAAGGTCTCTTCTAAAGCAATCCCAAAAGACAGCCCTGTAATCACACCTAGAGAAAGTCCAAAAGACTCACCCAAAGAGAGCCCTAAAATAACCCCAATTGATACCCCTGTCTTGACCCCAGATTCTACACCCAGGGAGTCCCCTAAAGAATCCCCAAATGTCATTGCTAAAGAACCCCAGAAAGTAATTTCTAAAGAAGTTGTTAATCTTGTTGCTAAAGAGGTTACCAAAGAAGCTTTTAAACCACCCCCTAAAGATGTGCCTCAAGTCACACCGAAGGATACAACTAAAGTACTCACTCAGGAGTTTTCTAAGCTTCCACCTAAGGAGGTTTCAAATGTAGCCCCAAAAGAGATTTCTAAAGTGACACCAAACGAGACTTCTAAAGCAGCTCCAACTGAGGTTCCCACAGTTCCATCTAAATCAAGCTCTAAAGTTACTACCAAGGAATCCTCAAAAACAGTTCCCAGTGAAAAGTTCCCTGAACTTGATCTTAATCATACCTTTCACCAGGCCCAGAGCAAGTCCTCAAGTATGTACCGTAGCCAGAGTGAGATAAGAACAGAAAAAGTTGAGGAGGTTCCTAAAACTTGGAGTAGTAGGCTTAGCATAGATCTAAGCGAAAAGTCCTTTGGTTTTGGCTTTGGATCTACTCTTCAGAGAGCTAAGTCTGCTCTGGAGGTTGTTTGGAAATCAGGCGCACAAAGCACCCCTGCTCCTCAAGAGGAACCTACAAATTCGTCTTCCTCATTTATGGGGCGTTTTCGAACACTCTCCACCTCCACAGCAAATAGTTCCCCTGCTACAATGGAATCAGATGTTTGTACAGAACATGTCTTTAAGAAGTCAGAGGAGGAAAATACTAGTGCTGAAATTGGAGAACAATCTGTGGACAGTGAAACACACTATGTTGAAGTGATGGAGCAGGTACTAGCTAACCTGGAGAACAGGACTAATGTTACTGACAACAAGGAAACCGATGAGCTTGAACAGGAGTGTGAAACTTCTCAAGACTATGATGTGTCTGAGGACTTGGAGCCATCTCAAGACAATGATGCCTCCCAGGTTCATGAGGCTTCACAAGATTTTGAAACCCCTGACGACTATGATGCAAGTAAGGAGACCCGGGTTTTGGAGTATGACTGCAGTTTGGATGATCAGTATGAAGAGGAGTATAGTGAGGATTATGAGAACCAACTCACTGAGGACACTGCTGAATACGATGCAATGGTTGAGTATGTGGATGTTGAAGAACCTGATGAGACTGAGGATAATGATGTGACAGAGGAAATGGATGAGGTTGCTGAAGAGCTGGATGATGTTGAGGAAATTGCAGAAGAGGCAGTTGAAGTTCTTGAAAAAGAAGAAGAAGAACAACTTCAGGAGGATGAAAATCAAAATGTCCCAGAAGAGAAGCCGGTAGAACCACCACCTAAAAAACGAGTTCGACCCACATTCAAAGAGGCGGCGCTGAGAGCTTACAGAAAACAAATGGCTGAACTTGAGCAGCAGATCCTGGCAGGAGGTAAGACTTTTTACTTCTTAGTTTTTTGTCTGTATGGTGAAACTCTATTATAACTTTCAAACTTTTAGCTTCTGTGGGGAGTGGTGGCCAAGTGGTAAGAGCATAGAGATTGGAATCCAGAGGTTCTGAGTTCAAGCCACACTCCCACAGACACTCTGCGTCCCTGAGCAAAGAACCTTAAACCCACACTGCTCCCCGGGCGCCGCACAATGGCAGCCCATTGCTTCCCAAGGAGATGGGTTAAATGCAGACAGTGAATTTTTCCAATGTGAGATCAATTAAGTTCAATAAAAAAAAAATAAATAAAAATGTATTTTTCATTGCAGTAGACATTTTTGCATGCAGTGTATTTTATGTTTTGTTTTTATGTTATCCTTTAAGAGATTAGTTTATTATTTTTGTTGAACAGGTATCAGAGTCAAGTTGAAAAAGATTCAAACTTGTGTCTGATTTAGGTTTGAACTAATGTTTTAGTTTACCCATATTTACCCACCAGAACCAGAGTCACTGAAAGAGAACATGATGGAGAATCTGCAGAGGGAGTATATTAGGGTGATGACAGTGATGCACAACAACCTAAAGGGCTTTGAGTTCATATGGTCATTAAGTAAAATCAAATGTAATCAAAATACCAGTGGGGGGCAGCGAAAAAGAATTTATCACAAATTGTTAAAGTTTGTTGGTTGTGATGTCTTCAGACGTCAATGATTGACCTATTTTTTGGAGTACAGTCCTTGCATTTTCAAGAAAGCTGTAAGTACCAGGCTAAAGCCTCACAGCCTGCCATTCTGGCTCCCTGAGTATCCTCAACCTTACAAAGCTCTCTAGATGCTTGTGATGGGTTAAATGGAGAGATCAAAAGATTTTAATGTACATTTGTGTTGACCAATTAAGTTGATTATCTTTATCATCCTCATCAAATTGTTGATTAAGACGGGTATTTTCTTTTCTTCTGTCAAAATTTTCAAAATCATAATCATTTTTTCCTCCTTTTTTATTTCCATTCAGAAACACATTTCATGGATGGATACACTTTTAACATTTAATCCTGGAGATGAGAAGATTTTGAGGCCTAATTGCATCCATTTTACTACATTCCAAGAGTGAATTATTAATGCACGCATCTGTTTTACTTCTCCTTATGTGATCCAGGCCTTTATCCCTTGTTACCAGCTTGTTCCCCTTGTGCTGATGCTCCAAAGAGTTCTGTCAGGTCTGAGTGTGAGCTATGAAGGGAGTACAAGCAGAGCTGCTACCCTTACGTCTGTCTTTAACCCACTACAGCAGAGTCTGCATTCAGATGCTAATTTACACCCCTCAAGGGTATTTTGTAACCAGGTCAGCCTTGCTAGGAATATTTATAAAGGTCTGATGCTCGTAAAGTTGGTTGTTTGCTCTCTAGGGAGCATCAGAGGTAGACCCTCTTTATGCTTAGTCCATCACTTCCTACTAAAGTGTGGACTTGAAACATGCATATTTGGCGTATCCATAGGATATTACACAATTCCATCCAGTTGATGATTTTGACTAAAGTAGTATGGGGGAGAACATGGACAAATTATATATTTTAAATTAAACACCTAAAAAGTAAGCTATCATAGCTAGCAGTTACTAGATAGTAAACATACTTGTAAGTTCCTTCTTGTTAAAAGGTTTCCTAAGGTAGTATAATTTTCTATATAGTAATTGAATAATGTCAGGTTAAGAAAACAGGACCCAACTTTTTTAGGCAGCATTGTGTTGTGTGCGTCATCATGTAGGAACAAAGTGTAGGACTTCACAACATAGATGGCTTTGTAAAATAATTCAGGTGCTGTAAGAAACCAACATTCAGATAGTTTTTTTTCTCAATGCTCTGTTGTTCTCTTTATCCTGCAAATAATTGTTGTTGCTACTATAAGTTGAAGAAAGAATTAAAAGTTACTTTGGTATAGTTTTGGCCGAGTAATATTAGTTGAGAAAACTAGGCAGCAGGCATCAAGAGTTCTTCTAGGACAGATTGATAGATAGATTATAGGTAATGATATTTAACTTGCACTGTATCTTATTCTTTTTTGCTCGCTTCATCAGGGCTTGATAATACAAATTTTAGAGATCCTCCAAAACTGCTTAACAATGCATTGAAAATTCAGAACTAAAGAAAATGCAAACCAAAATGTTTAAATATTTTAAAGAGAAAACATTTTTTTTTATTTCATAAGGAAACATTTACAGAGGTATTAGGAGAAAACTAGTCAAGAACAGCCTATGTGCCTTTTGATCTGGATCTATCTATATAGCTGTGGTGAAATAATTAAATATTTAACCTGGATCTAAATCTAAGAACGTTTTATATCAATGTCATAAACTGAAAAAAATAAAATCCTGAAAGATGGAAAAAAAACACTTTTTATACTTGCGGCTGGTGCTGTTTGGCTGCATACAGTTTATCAAGCTGCGCACCACACACGTATTAAACAAGCGTATTTGAGCTGCGCAGCGATCTCACTGTACACTCAACTTCATAACTGTGCGCTGAAGTTAGTGTTACAAATACACTACAAGCAGGTCTTCCTGGCACTGTGTGCTGGCCCTAAATTGTTTTGTGATATGCAGTAGTTCACCCTTCTAGGTTACTTAAACCTTGGATATGAAGATTCTCAGTCAGCCAGGTCTTGGTCAAGCTTGAAATGGTTAATCTCAGTGGTTCCCACTACTAGTTAGAACTGAAGAAAATTCTTGGATGAGAGGCGAACTGTCTTTGAAAAAACTTCACATCCCTTTGTCTAGACGTAACCTTTTCAAGCTTAACCCCTGGACAAAACTCAGCTCTCAAATTTATTAATTACAGAAGTTAAACTTAACATTATGGGAATCCATTTACTTTATAGTTGTACTGCCAGTTGGTGTCACCGGTGTTAGTTTAACAACCATGAACCCTTTAGTCCCAGGCTGTGTTGATCTGTCCCAAAAACTCCCACTGCAATACATTGAAGCTTGTTGTTTTACCATCACTGCAAAAATTTAAACAATAAAGGAATGTTTGCAAGGTACTGTACATTTGGAATTCTTAGGCCTTGTGTACCTTTGATTTTAAATTGAGAAACTAAGGGTAAAATAGCTTCAGTTTTTTGTTGTGACTTTCATTGAACATGTTCCTTTTTTTTTTGGTTATGCCCTGTAATTTTGAAGCTGCTTGGAAATACCTCTGTGCCTGTAAGCGCTGAAAGTGTTGGACTGGGAGTGTGGCATACCTTGTCAAAGAAATGACAACCAAAAAACTGTAAAACAAACAAAAGTGTCACGAAAAACACTTGTCACATTCATATTACAAATAAGGTGCAGAGACACAGTTTTCCCCCCCCAGAAATACATGTGTGTTTGTATCTATATGTAAAAGGTTTGTGTGTCCATTCTCCTGGTTGTGTTGAGGTGCATTGGTCAGTGCTGCTAATACTAGCGGCCAGGTGAAGCTTTCCTGTTCCACTGATTTGTGATCTGTGTGCTGTGTGTTCACGTGTATCAGCAGCGACACAGAGGATTTACCACTGCTGGTGTCACCTCAACAACACACACAAACACAAGCAAACCTTCACAAATGTACCTCTACACACACCAAGAGTTTCTATCAATCAATTACAGTTTTGTTCCACAGATTTAAGGCACCTGTGAAATGAGGTTTATATCCTCAGCCTATAGGCTATCTTTGTAACCTGGCTTTATCTGCTGCTGTTCCAGACTTAGTGGGAAAGAAATGCCTCTATCTTGTAAGGCTGTGCTGAAAGGGTCCTAGTTGATTACTTTCCGTAGTACGACTGGCAGCTCATCTCCTCTTGAGATGCAGTTCCTGAGCTTACCTTCAGATTTGATGTCACAAGGAATATTCAAAAATACTTTATTAATCCCAAAGGAAAATTAAAAATGCAATGTGCTTGGATAAAAAAAAAAAAAAATAGAAATAAATCTCTATTAAACTCAACCTTTTAATTTGTACCTATAATCTAGATACTTTGAGACATTTATTGCAATTTGTGCATCATAGCGCTTCCATTTGGGTTATCTCATAGTAAAAAGATATATATAGACATACTATCACTTCTCTCTCAATAACCTTGCAGGTTCAATATTATTATCACATAAAGATTTATTGATTATAAAGAATAATATAACAGATAAAGCACAATAGAAATACAGAAAAAACTACAGGGACTTTTGCTTTTGTTTATAAAGCAAGTAATGACAAAGATTATCCTGCTGGGCTATTTAATCGGAATCCTTATTTTATCTTTCTCTGGTGAGCAGCTGTGGTCTCTTAGCAACACATTATATCCTGATTATACAGACTTATGTCACACATGGATAAAGATACAGAAGATCGGGTTAGATGCAGACATTTGACTTGCTGCGGCAGCCCATGAAAAGGAAAATCCAAAAGATTATGACAAAAACAGGTAACCCAGGACAGCAATTTCATATTTTCTTTCTTATGCTTCTAACTCAACCATAAAAACTTTATAATAAGCCAAGAAATTATACCAGCATTATGCCCAATATATTAGTGTGGGCTTTGCTAATTATGTAAATAATTAGGCTAGTTAGATGTTTGTTCCAAAAAACCACCCTGAACCTTATGGACTCCACTTGGCCCGTGAATAGATGCAGTGGTAAGTAGTTTCAAGATGTGCCAGAGCAGCCATTATCTTAGTCTTTGAGTCCTGTAACGTTACTAAACTTGTTTGTGGAGATAATAACATGCTACATTAGATAGAAATCCAAAAGGCACAGGTTTTCTTGTCAACACTTTAAACTCATTGTTTGGCTCCTTAAACACCTCCTGACACCAGCTTTGCTTTGTTATAGGGACCATCTCGCTACAACAGGCCTGAGGCAATACAGTTTACATGGCAGCATGTATATTCACAAGAGAAATTATTATAGTTAATGGGATGTTTTAAAGTAACATTCAAGTGAATGGTTGAGCAGAAAGTTCATCAGAAGAACATTGCTTTTAAAAGCTACTGTACAGTAGTTTTCTTCCCTTTGTGTACCCATGCTATATGCTCTCTATATGCTCTCTCTATATGCTCTCTCTATATGCTATCTAAATAATGCATAATTCAGTTCAATTCAGTTTATTTCTATAGCGCCAATTCACAACACATGTCATCTCAAGACACTTTACAGTTCACCAGATCATACAGTCAAATTGATTCAAAGTTTTCTATCTAAGGAAAACCAATTGATTGCATTGACTCATTAACTCGAATGCAATCCCTCACACTAAGCATGCTTGTAGCGACAGTGGAGAGGAAAAACTCCCTTTTAACAGGAAGAAACCTTCAGCAGAACCAGACTGAGTGTGAGCGGCCATCTGCTGAGGCTGACTGGGGTTCAAGGAGACAGAAGCAGAGATACAAAAGGCAACTGTTAACTAGCTCCACAGGCGATCCATTCCAGGATACACACAGCCACGCAGACGAGCTCCGAGCCAGCTCCCATGTCAGAGGATGAAAGAGAGCACATCCAGCCAGTCCATCCATAAGCAACTGGATATTTGTGTGACATGCGCAAACAGTGATAATTCTGTATACTCATACCTTTCTCTCAGAAGCTGCCTTCAATACCAATAATATGGATTGACTAACGATGACCTAGTCATCAGTTCAACACTGTTCTAATTTTTGTACACTGTACAGCAGAAACACCCTGAAAGAACTTCAGTTTAGGCAATGCTTTGACCTAGTCATCAAACTACTACCATTTGGTGTGAGCCAAATATGCTCCAGTTTTTATGTTTGCTAATTTTTTCCTGATTTTAACACAGCAACTTTTAGCCCCTTACATGTACAGTAGACCTACTTAAATTAATGTTATACAGTATAGTAAAAATACTAGCCAGTGATCTATCACTAGTGTTTTTTGACTGAAAGATATAATCTTTTACACCTTGGAAGTAGGGGATGTTGTGCTGACAAATATTGAATCCTGCAAGTCTTCATTTTTCCCCCTCGAAATCCCAGTTTTACAAAACCCCTCTGTTCATTTTAAAGTATTCTTCTTTTTAAAGCTAATTTCCCAAAGGCATTTTTTCACTCTGTCTCTATTTCTGCAGAAGTTGTTTCAGAAATAAAACAGTTTCATGTAACAGGGAAAGTGGATTGTATAAGTGCCTGTATTTCATAGTTAATCCATCCTAACACTTCCTCCTCTTGTCATGTTTTTTCCTCTTTAGACACCAGTGCTTTGGATACTCAGGTTTTACTGTTTTCTTTTTTTATACTGCTATTTGGAGACTTGTAATTCCCTTGCATGTGCATGTAACTGGGTGTGATGTACTGTATGTGGTGAGAAACCTTTGTGTCCTAGCTGTTATGTAAGTGTGTACAACTGTTACTGTTTGTGTTTCTTTTTTTTAAATCTGGGATGTTGAAATTTGTGCTTATTGAAAATAACGCAGCATGTGCCCGTTTTTAGTCTTTGTGAGCTAATTATATCTCTATTCAACATTTTATTAAGTATGTGTTTTAAAATGGGCTTTTGGCCAGTGAGGAGGTGTTACACAACAGGCAAATCTTGCCTCAAGCATATAGAGCAGGAAAAGTCTCAGTCTTGAGACTACAAATTACACTCTTTGAAATAATTTGAACTTTGCCTGTGGTGATTCCCTCCTTTCTCTCTGCCCTCACGCCTCTCTAGTCATTTATCCAGTCCTGAAATGACATGCAGTTTCCCAATTTTTGTTAAAATATACATTTTATGTTTTCCTTTTGCTGCTGTTTTGTTTTGTGTTTTATCTCATGTGGTCTCCTTTTTTTCCTAGTCTTACACTATGTTTCTTATTTCTGCAGCCTCGCAGTATTTTGGATCCCAAATTTCTTGGGTTGCAGACTGGAGGGTAAGTTGTGGCTTAAATCATGATCTGAGTAGTTAACTATTACACAAATGGGACTTTTTATCGTAATGCACCCTTATACACATCACTAAAATGTTGAAAGTGAAGAGTTATTCTAACTGAGGGATAATGTGACCCGTTTTTTTTGTTGCACATTAGAAAGTAAAATCCCAGATATAAATGCCTTCACAATGTGGAAATGTGCAAAGGTCCTAGTACTGGTGGACCATTCACAACGCAGAGATGTGTTTTTAATTTTTGAATGCAAAGCAGGCCGGGTTTTGAGGGCGTGACGCTAGAGAAAGCACAACAAGGAAGATGGCAACAACTATTGAACAGTTCTTGTTTGACTCAGTTTTGGAAGGATTAGACTTGGGGTTTTCTTGAAACGTGAGCAGGAAGAGGCTCTACACTCATTCAATTTTAAGAAGGACGTATTTGCCGTTTTACCAACAGGCTGTTTGTTTACACTCCCCCACCAGCTTTCTGTCGCGCTTACTGCGTCACAGTCAGTTGCACTCATTGGTCAGAGCCTTGGCCAATAGGCACAGACATGGTTTGACAGACAGTGGGTTGTTCTCATCAACAATCTTCCGATGTCTCATATATCGGGGCCAGACTAAATTACACATATAATCTCACATTTAGTCTGGTTTATCAGGCTTGAATAAAAGAAGATAGTCTTTTGAATTCTTCCTTATCTGTTGAATTCATAACAACAACATTTATTGATCAACCCATTGAATTTTCCCTTATTGGGTGTTACAGTCAAAACCCTAAAGGGAAAGCAGAACCAGTGTCAAATAAGTAAATTGAAATGCATTTATCTTCTCAAATGTATTATTTCCAATAATAGTTTCATTTGTAAGTACATCAAACTTGGCAGCCAACCAAATATTACTATTTAGATATTGAACATAATTCTATTGTGATGACTGCTACACAATGTATTGTGCAGCCCTGTAAAAATTCAAAGAGAAGAGCATGGGAAATGCATTATTCAGTTTATGCCAAGTTTCTCTAGATCATCTGTAACCATCTTTTTGTAAAAGTACTGTTTTGTCTTCCAAACTCTTATCTTTTTTGTTTTGATAGAATTTAAAAAGCAAGCTGTCTTAAATATTAAATATAACATTGGTTAAAGATCTTTGTCTTTTAGTTTACATTTTAACAATATGACCACAACTTTTTGCATTCTGCCTATTTTATTCCTTGTTGGATCCAAAAACAGTGCTTTTCTTGTAAATTAAATGCACTCTTGACAAGTGCTTCTACTTCTCTAGAAGTTTTGATCTGCATCTTATTCAGCCAGTCAGTGTTGGCAGGAGAGGCTCGAGTTAGAAAAACAGAAACCGCTAATTACAAGTAATTAAACTATAGCTGAAGATTCTGACACACAGCCGTTAAAGGAACAATCTACAAAAAGTCTCTTCAAAATCTGTGGAAAACTGTTCATGTAACAAACGGTCCCTCTTTTCTAGCTCATGAAATACAGACAGTGAGTTGAATCAGCTGAAATAAGAACCAAGTTCATTAATTTTATAAATTGAGATTATTTTACACTGGTTACAGTCTGCAACACAATTCAGGTAGTCAAACATCCTCAAAGTTAGTGGAAGAAATTAATAAGAAATAAAAAAAAATAAGATGTTAAGACAAGTTTATAAACCAAAATAACTCACACTCAGTCAATCTTTCTTAGTATAATTCTGTACCTTACACGAAAAATGAAATGAAAATGGTTCCATTTTCTCCTTTTTTTTCAGGCATGCAATGAAAACATGATATTCTAAGAGTGGATGAAAGATTTCTCCTTTATATGCAGAAACTGAACCTAAAAAGTGCATCATCAAATGTCAAAAGAAAAATGTTTACAAGAAGAAATCAGCTCATTAAGCCTAGCTAAATTCAAATGGCCCAGACTTAGCAGAAAGTATATTGAGACACATCTGGGGTCAGATAATACAAAGTCTTTGCAATACGTATTAAAATGATGCTTTTTTGTTGATTAGAAATACGGTGAAGTTAAAAAAATATATATCATGTTATCTTTGAAAACATAAGTAATCTGTCAATACTGAATAGTGTTCTTTTGTATGCTTGTCAAAGTCTAAGATGGCCTAAATATCAAAAAACAAAGAAAAAAAAAGTTTTCATAAATCTCAGTGTTTTAAGAAATTGAGCTCCTTTCTTGGTGCAAATCTCTTAAACAAAGGCCAACATTATTGTTGTTAGCAGCTAATGGTTAACTCCGTTGCCAGTAAGTTTAGATGTTATTTCTATGTTGTTTCTACCTCTACAATTATTTATTCCCAGTTTTACAAATGCAACCAAACAAACGATTTAAAGTTTGGTTTCGTTTTGTTCAATACTTCAGTTGTCACATCGTCTTCTTCAATAAAATAATACAACAGATTTTAGGAGAATGACCCTAAAATGACCTTCTTTTACACTGAAATAGGAGTCTCAAACATGAATTAGCTCTCTCAATTCACTGGATGATGTTTTACACAGAAAGAATCAGAACAGGGCTTACAGGACAAGTCTTTAGTTTTGCAAGAAATGTCGTTGCATTTCTATGTTGCAAGATGGCAGGAGATCTTATTATACCCCTGCTAAGCAGCTATATGCTGCTTGGATTGCTTAGATTGGAAGAGTAGAACCCAGAGCAAAGGCCTGCTCAGTGTGTCACGATAAAGGCTGACAGAAAAGCTTTAGGAGCTTTATCTGTATGGAGGCATTGGGGCCTCGATGTCATGTTGAGGTCATTAAAGAGGCTTTGAGTGACAGTTAAGGTGATGCCAGTAAAGTAAGTCTGTGAAAGAAGAACTGAGCAGGGGACAAAAACCACACTTAAAAGACAGAGAGGAGGGAATGAAATTTGTATTTTGAGGCTACACTGGATCCTCACAGTAAATGTTCATCATATTGTATGGTATGAGGTTTGCACAATGCAAAGAAAGGCGAATATGGGGTACAACAGGTTCAGAAGAAGGCATGATCCATGGTTCTTATTGGCTGTATAAATCAAGCCCCCTCTCCATAGTAGTATTGTTCGCTCAGCAAGGCATTATTATGATATTAATACCCCTTAAATCTGTCCACTTCCACAGGGCTGGCAGTATTCTTTATGGTATTGACAGCATGCCAGATCTACGCCGCAAAAGGACAGTGCCTCTTGTCCGAGACCTGGTGAGTCATCTGCCTCAACAACGTTACATGTGATTTATGTCAAATCTATCAGTGTGACCCTATGTTTTACCACAGTGGTGAAACGCTGTAGTGTGTAAGTGTTGGTTTCTGCTGAGCACAATAATGTCTTTACTGACACCTTGATGGAATGCCAGTCTGCTTTAATATGACAAAGTTAGTTTGCAACAACTATATACGACAGTATATTAAGCGACTGAAAAATGCACTCCTACAGACATGCACGTACATACATGTATATAGAACAAAGTAGTTTTCATAATGCAAATGTGTGATTATTCAATGCTTTAAATTATCCTACTATTTCTAATCTTTAGATATTAACTAATTAATTTTAAAGTATAGCTTTAAATGCATAAACCTCACCATATGCAAATTACATGAATTGATTTTAAATAAACTTCTTTTTGAGAGGCTGAGTTCAAGTGTACTAGCCAGGCCAAATTATTGCCACACTTTTAGAAACAGGAAATGACTTCGGCAGCACCTATCTAAAAACATTAAGCAGGCTATAAGATTTTCCAAGAGAAATATCATGTTGCAGCATAAAGAAGAAGAGATGTAAATATGATAAATAATACAGTAGTGGTCAGACCTTGTAATTCAGTGAAAAGGTGGAGTCAGAGTATAAAAATATGCACGCCCATTAGAAGTCCAGTGGCTGGAAGTTGGAGGGGATTTTGCTGATATTTGGTTGCCATTCGTCTGGCTTTTGACTAGAAAGGGCCATTTTGAGTGGCTGTTACTGTACCATGCATTTGGGTTCAGCAGTGAAGCATATTGAGAGCAAATGTCATCTAAACATTATTTTTGTGAGGCTAAGCTCTGGCATAGTTTTCTAAAACAAGACTATGATCTGGAGTCCCCTAAGAAGTTCATCTTTAAACGACAAAGAGTGAAAAACTATGAGAAGAAACTGAAATCAAATTATGTGGCATGACTGTTCAGGCTGTTCAACCTTCCTATGGTGTATTGCTGAACAGAACTATTTTTACAAAACAATTGTGGGCCAAATTTAATCCACAGTGACTTAGAAGACTCATTGCTAATGATCACAAATGCTTACTGGCACATGTTGCCGTTAAGCCTGGTAGTCCCAGTCATTAAGTTTAGGGAGCAATTACGTTTTTGCATATGGCTTGAATAGCTTCCCCTGCTATATATAAATGAGCTCATTATGAAAAAAGAAATAACTGTTTGAGAGCAAACAAAAACAATCAAAAGAAATGGATCACTTTCTAAAGTTCTGAATATAAACTAATATAAATTAAATAATGTACAATGTTAACCATACAAAATGTCAGGTGAAGATTAAAGTGGTTCTGTTTAAACAGAGACTATATGCTCCATAGGTGTAGGAATTTGAAGTAAAACCTAAGCTGTGTGACTGTTGCTTGATTAATTAGCCCATAATGAGTATTTAAGATGTTTCATCAAAGTGATGCTCCACCATTTGTTTTTATTGCAACATTATGTGTCATAAAATATCCCACAGAGAAGCTTGTTGGAGATGCCCATTTTAGCACTATGCCACATGGTTACTCTTTCCAAGAGACAACATACTGTCATGATGCCAGTTAGGTTCATATCTGTTCTGTCTGTAACTGTTTGTACATGCCACAAAATGTGTTTGTCTTACACTTGTCTGTTTCTCATCTTGTGTGTTTTTAGGAAAAACAAACAATATTTAGACTTTTTGATTAGATCTGCTTGACAATCTTTTCTAGTTTCACTTGAAATTATAGAAAACGCATTTTTATGCAGATGATAATGCAGCTTGATGTCAAACACATGAATGCTGTTGAATGCTTATACCACAGTGAACAACATGAGTTGATGCTGTATTTGTTCATATCTCTCATTAAATTTAATAACCAACAATGTCTTGGTAAGTATGGGTTGCCGTTTTTTTTCAAATTATTATTATTTTTTTCTTTTTTTTTTTCTTGGATTACGTGTATATTTGCCATTTCCTACATCAACCCATAAAAGCTATGGGTGATATTTTTCAGTGAGTTGTCAGATTTCAGCCTTGGTGATTCTCACCAGCTGTTTTCTTTTGCTGCTCTGCAGGTGTTTGGGGCGGGCGGGGGGGTAGGATGGGATATTTCTCTTGAAATGTTGACAACTCAACCCAAAAATATATGCGAGAGACTTCATTGACTTCTGATTTAACTGTGTGAGGCTTTTAAATCATGTAAAAGTGACAATGAGCAAGCCTTTTACACGTGTGATGAAGTCAGTAGTCAGCAAACAAACTGGTCCCCCTTTCATGCCTCTCCTTTGTCAATGTCCCCCATTTGCTGTGTGATTGCTTCAGGGCAGAAACAGCGTTTTTGATTGGAATGGTCAGCAGGGATTTCCCGATTTTATGGTGGGATGGAAATTTAATACCAAACAACATAAAAAAAAATAAAACAGTTATTCATCCATTTTCAAACCACTGAGAGATTACCTCTGGATGCACATGTCTTATTGTGTTGCCTGCAGCAACCTCAGCACTGCTGGTGCATGTTGATACACTTACATCAACACTCACAGTTCATGTAGAGGTCACAATCCCTCCTACATTTTCCATGGCTACCATGGATCTTTACCATAGCTGGGGTTTGTAGACGAGAGGGTCGTGGTAAAGACTAATCCAGTACCGTAAGCTGTCCATGTCTGCATTCCTCTGTTATATAATTTCCCTCAGTCTGGGACCTATTAATCTATGCTTACCCAAGTGCAATATACTATAATAATAAATTAACATATGTGTATCAGTCTGTGTGTGTGTGTCTGATCTATGTATATTCTGTTTGGGCGTGTACAGGTACACGTTAGAGTAAGTTTTTAACTGTTTGGGTAGAAGAGTGTGTATATATGTCCCATTGCTGTAAGAAAGTTTTAACCAAATTATGAATTTCTTCTGTTTTTGATTTTATCTTGCACTTTAATTTCTCAATTGATCAGTTAAATTCTATTGTCACACAAAGATAATCAAACTTGGGTAGCATTTTTTCTTGATCCATACAAAATGATGTTTTCAAATGAGGATTTCATATAGATGAGAAGAAAGTTATCCAAGACAACCAATGCCTAGAAGTAAGCGGTCACTGAATGGGGCTTCGTCCAACAACATAAAGTAGGCTGAAGATCTCAAAAAGCAACATGATCTTCTAATGGGGCTAATGATCAGAAATGTCCGAAATGTTGTTTATATTTGGAGAAAATATGGAGCATAGAGCAACTTTTTAAGTAGTGGTGTTCTTGGAAAATGTATAAATATCAGTGATTGATAGATACAAGAGACTTCACTGCAGACTTCATTTGCATAGTTTAAAATTGATGTTGGTAAATTAGCATGAAAAGATGATCCCCCTCAAAAACAAAATAAACAAAAATAAAAGAAAAAAAAGTCACTGCAAAATGTAAAAATGTCTTAAAGTAAGAGTATTTACCAATGGAAGATTATTTGGATTATTTGCCAAAGGAATAAATAAAAAATTCACCCTTAAAATAAGATAATTAGATAATATGCACTTAAATAAGACAATGCAATCGTTTTTTTTTACGTAAATTGCCTTGCTTCATTAGCAAAGTTTCTCACTTACCTCTCCAATTCAAGAAAAATGCACTTATTTTAAGAAGAAATGATTTATTTAGATTAAAATTTTTTGTAGTGCTTCTTAAATTTTTCATAACATGATTGCAGATACCTTTGGAAAAAACCTCAGTGTAAACTTGGCATTGATATGTCTCCCAATCAAAAAATCCTATTGGAGACTTTCTAACAGTTTTTAACATCAGTTTGCAATCTCAAGTTCAGGCACTTTTGGATTATGATTTTGGAGCTGCCTATTCAATGTTCATGCTGACAAAAACCTTTCAGTTTTGCTTAATTAAAGCAATAAGCAAAGAGGAGTGGGAAGAAATTTCTTCCAATGTAAAAATGTCATTTACCAATTATTCTAAAAGCTTAGTGGAAGTTGTTGCTCTAAAAGCAATTATTACACTGTTGGTATAATTACGTTATGATCATTATCATATAATTACATTTGCTTTAAAAACTGTGATTTATTTTTGAATGATTATCTTTGTTTGATGATAAAAACATTGAAGAAACATGCAATAAAAGTTTAAAACACTGAAGTGAGACAGAAAAACAAAACCAGAGGAAAATCTGTTGAAGGGCGAGTCCTTTTTTCACAGCACTGTGTGTGTGTGTGTCTATTGAAAGTATGTTTGTGTGTACAGCTGGCTTCAACCATACATAAATGTGTGCATCTTGTGGGTCTCTGTTTGTGTCAAACTAATGCACAGAGCAGACAGCAGAAAATATTATCGAAGCTTCATCCAACAGACAAATGAATAGAAATGCCAAGCATGACTGCAGCACAGTTATGTCCACTGCATGAGGGGACAAACAATAATGCAAAAGCTGGATAATTTCACTTTATGGATAGCCAAATTGTCCTAGAGAGCTCTATACCCCAACCAGCAGTCCTGCATGGCAGTTAAGACACGTTTGTGCTTAATAATAATGGGCTAAAAGTAATTTCTGTCAGCTGTTTGTGCTTTCATTCATTTCTTTTCATATATACCTTGTCTAAATAATCTCTTTCCTTGTTTTTAATTTCTGTTTATGAACACTTGGAAATCCCAGGCTTTGGTAAGAACACTTGTTTTCGTTTACAGAATAATTAAATGTAAGTTTTTGGTAGTTTTCTGTGGCTTAAATCATTTTTATATAGTTTTATTTTTTTTTAAATCAAACTTTAAAAATCAATAACAAGTCAATTTACATCAAACCATGTCAACAGTGGCCCCTGATATTTTTCTCTTTGTTTTCGCTCCCTATTTAGACCCTCACTGCTCGAAAGGCAGGCATCTCGTTTGCTCTGGTGAACAGATCAACACTGAACAACGAGGAACTGGTGAGTATATGGAAACCACTATTTTATTTAATCTACCGTGTTGCTGAAGAGTTGATACACCATAAGCAGGTCCTTAGTTTAACACAGGGCAAACAAAGGGCATGGTGAGAGTTGCCATTTAGGCCCAATAGCAGTTTTGGTTTTGCATTGTTAGAGAAAACAGAGCATCTTCGTGCCATGCAGAACACTTTAATTGTTTTTACACAAAAACAAAACCCTCTTGCTATAGAAATAGTCCTATAGTCCCGAATCATTGGGCTACGCTTATTATACCATGATTAAGGTGCCACTAATATTGGCTAACTTTAACAGCCGCATTTTTTAATGAAATTCCTATAGACACTGGCTTAACAAAAGCAAAGATAATTACTTATTTACACACTGAACACAGTAATACCAAAACCATTAGGACAGCAAAAAAAGGCCTGCTCTTAGAAGTGAGTTGAAACATCATACTGTGATAGATAGCTGTGCAATAGAATAATTTTACTAATTAGCTATACATATCCAAATTTCAGCGATATCATTAGAAGTGAAAGCAAATACAAGAATTAACAACCCATCAGTACAAAATGGGAAACTGTGCACAGGTTAGCAGGATTTGCTATATGTTTATAGAGTCAATGTCTCCAGATATTTAAAGCGAAGGCCTTCAGATTATATTGAAGGTATTGTTGAGGATTTTCATGACTTTTTTAAAAGACCCGCCCTCTTCACGCGCTCCAGAGTGTGCACGAGCCCATTTATCCTCGTGCATGCTCTGTTTTAAAGTTTCTGTTCTCATAGCTCATACAAGCTTACTGTGGCCAAACGACCTCCCTAACCCCTAAATTCCTTCATCAGTATATAGAGTGGGGACTTTATAGTGAACTCAGTTAACTGACCGTTCGGACAGATGATCAATACTTTTTGCCGGTTGGTCACGTAATCCCTCCTTCCCTGCACGGTGCCTGCACCGTCTTTGTTATTGTCGGTAGCGACAGCCAACAGTATGGCGTCAGTGGGCTGCTTTGACAGCATCCCATAATGCTTTGTGAGGAAAGGAATATATCTGCCTCTTCTGAGGCCTTTCTTTTCTTCTCATACTCTTCATAGACACTTTTTCTCTTACGACCCTCAGCCATTTTAAAAGAACCACAGTCAGAAATGTGAGCTTCTATGACTGTCTGAAACCGTAGCTCACCACAGATATACTCCTGAAAGTGCGCACGCGCAAAAAGATAGCTAACGAGATGAGCACATAGGACGGCCTTACGTGAACATATCACTAGAATGATTGACAAGTAGGAGGACCACTATTTTAGATGATCCAACAGAAAATAAAAGATTGTCCTCTATACCTTTAAGAAGAGAAAGTCAACTGCTTTATTGAATATTATTTGTTGCAATGCAGCTGTATTTAAACCTTGCCTCACTAAATGCAGTTCTAAGGGTTTCATATAGTGGTAAAAAGCACACAGTAGCTCCACTGAACCATGTAGTATTGAAGGCTTGTGGTCTTGAGTAACAAATAACATTTTCCTCACTGGGAATATGATGGGTGGTTTTGGTGTTGATGTTTTTAAGAATAATGCTACTTTCCTGACATCACTGTGCAAAGATAGGACAAATGACTGTGAAAATTCTCAATCCTCTGGGGTACAGCAAGAAAACATGTTTAAATTGGAAGCAGCCAGACTTTCTGTCAGTTTTCCTTTACAAATTTCAACACATATCCAGGAGTCTCCATCAGTTCTATTGGCACACACCAGAGCAACCTGCAGTTGGGGCACTGATCATTTTCCTCCTATAAGCACATTTTAAGTCAGATGCAAGATGCAATGCAGGATAAAGTTCAGTTGAGAATTCTCCTTCAGCATCAATATAAGACCTCAAAAATGCTTCGCATGAATGGTAAAATATTATTTTAAAAGCTAAAGCTTGGGGTGAGCTTTTTCAGAAAAGCCAAAGCTGTTAGAGATTAAAATATACCGTTTATATTATTTTATTTAAATGCCAATCTCCTTAGAATGGATGTCATTAAAGTCAATTGGTGTGTAAAAGCTAGTGTCCCAATTACTTAGGCAATAATTCTGTCCTTTTTCTTAATCTTGATTCTAGATAAATGCTGCAGTTTATTAAATTGGCCCCCGTGCTCTTAACAGTTTGGCTGAATTCAGAAATTAATCTGTGACATTTTATTTACACAATGGTGTGTCGTCTTGACAAAAACTGTGCAGTGCGGGTGACTGAGCAATGGAGAAAGGGCAGAATGTCTCAGCCGATGGTGTGAGACACTTTTGTGTTGACCTCTAAAGCTATCTCAGCATTAATTGATTGCAATTCTTCCCTCCCTGAGGGGAGATGGCGTAACAGGAGGCAAACAGTGAGAGAGGAAGCGGCATTTCAGTAGGAAAAAGAAGCATACAATTTCATAACCGCTGATATGCAGCAAGCAGCTGGTTAAGCCTGCAAGATTACTGGATTTAAATGAGCTCTGTACATACTGCACACTTTTCATCTCTTCATGAGATCTCAATGTGTCCTTTAGTTTGTGTAAACTGAATCGCATCTGTGTATGCTTAAATCACACTTGATCTAATATTTATAGGCTAAACTTCAGGAATTGTGCCATCTATACCACAGTGCTTACTTGTTTGGTAATATTGGAAATGTACAAAAAGGCTGATAAAGCAAAAACAATGTGCATTAGGTAGGCTCTCATCTGATGTTTGAAAAGGCTGCCCATTGGTCATTTTTGGTGTCTGTGCTGTACCAAGAGGCTAACATCTAGGGATTCTGATTTAGAGCATTGAGAGGAAGTGGTTTTATAATTGGTTGAGGCAAACGGGCTTCCGAGAAAAGCTTTAGATTGTGTGCTCTTGGTAAGTAGGACAAGCAGATGTCAGAGTTTTATCAGTTGCATTAAGTCCAGCAGAATGTTTCTCAGTGAGAGCTGGGAGAATGCACTGAAACCATGCTGTTTAATTGTAAAGGAGTAAGGGGAGGCGACGAGTATGAAAAAACAAACAAAGAGTATTGAGAAAAATACAAAAAATAGGAGAGAATGAAAGAAGGCAGAGCAGAACATTATTTATCATCATCACCCCCTGGCTATTGTGCCTCTGCACCGGCAGCCATGTTGAACAAACAGCCGTCCTTGGATTAATGTTTGAATCTTTTTAAAGTGCTTTATTCCTTCGACTGCTGCTTGCTTTGGTGCTTTATCTTCAGTTTATATCAAATTGTTTGTATAGAAAATGTGATGGAAATGCCCCTTATTACTGATGTGGTGACAAATCTTCTGATGTTATGTTATTTCTTTGTCATGTTTCCGCTGCATCAGCCTTTTAGAGCAGAAAGGGAATTTGCCTGTTGGGGCCTAATAGCTGCTTGTGTGTCCACTCCATGTTATGAGCTGCATGTGTCGTGAGTACAGCAGGCTTTTAACAATGCCTGTCAACATATGGAGAGGTTGTGTTTACCTGCCCAGGCAAGGCACTGACTTTCCCAGAGCAGGAAGGAAGCTACAACCTGACAGAAGCCAACGAGTGTCTGAAAATAAGATGCGATGTGCTCCTGTAAGTCTGCTCACGTATTATCAGACATCTTGTTAGCAGCAAAATGTGCCAGGCTGAGACAAAAATGCTTGCAGTAGAAATAATATGGGTCAGGAATTTTTGACTCCACAATAAAGATCTGAAGAGTATATGATCTCCATTTTTGTAAAGCATTGACCTGATTATATGTATTTCTGAGTTCTCAGTGAAGGCTAAGCAAATGTAAGAACAGTACTCTAAAGGTGATCTTGTCAGAATTCACACTATTTGCTTCCATTAGCTACATTTTTAATCATTGGTTCATTTATCAATGAGTTTTAAAACACATTAGCCTAATGGTCTTGGTTAAACATACATTCATCCATCCCGCTTCTCCCGCATATCAGTCAGGGTCCCGGTGGGGCCGGTGTATAACCCTGGTAGTCTGTCGATGAAAGGCTGGGTCCACCCTGGGTAGGTCGCCAGTCTGTCGCAGGGCAATGCAGAGACATACAACCATCCCACAGACACACACCTAATGAAAATTTAGAGACGCCAATTAAAAGGCATATTTTTGGACTGTGGAAGAAACCCGGAGTACCCTGTGAGAACCCACACATGCACAGGGAAACATGCAGACTTTATGCAGAAAAACCCCACACCAGAAATGAGACCTTCTTGCTGCAGGGCAATGTTTACCAGCCATGGTTAAACATATTAAAGAGAAAAGCATATTAGAAAATAAAAAAGGGCTTGTGAACTTTCCTTGTAAATTGCTACATGAAATAAAAATAAAGAGTCAATTACGACTACAACATTTCTGTGATTGGAAATTGCCTGATTGGAAATCAATAGTTGCAAGTTGTTTTCTGTTTCATTCAATTTTTTATGCCTCATTTTTTAAAATGATAATAAGTAGGATGGAAATCTGTTTGCAATGGATTCCAAATGTTTTCCCCTTTTACTGAGGAAAACTTTTTTGCTGATTGTCTATCATTGCTTCCATTGGCCTCTGTTTATTTTACCTTATAATGCAAGAACAAAATTGTTAACTGACATGTAATCTTTTCAAGAGACCCAGATGTGGTCTCTAGCTTGTGTTAACTGTCCATCTATTGGCTTTCCAAAGACATAAAAAAAAACAATAAGTTTAAATTGAATATTTAAAGTTCCTTGAGGGTAGTTTTATTGTGAACTGTCCCTCTATCAATGAAGATAATTAAATTAAGTGTTTTAAAAATGAACCATCCAGACTGAGTTTTTGCTTTTTTGGATAAGAAGTGATAAAACCTGGTTTCCCTTACATCTATAAACAATGTTGTTGTCTTTTCACAGTTAACACAAAACAGAACGATGAAGATTACAATATATAATAATATATATATTTCTAGCTTTCTGTATTGATATCAACTAGGTTAGCTTGGTTAGGATAACTAACACCCTAATCTGTAAGTGTAAAGTTGGGCAATTGAAATCATTAGCCTAATATCTGTTAACCTCTCATAAGAGACCTCTTCGCTGGTAAGTATCATTGGTACCATTAATACAAACCGAACATTCCTGTTTAATGCTAATGTCTTTGTGATGTTCTTATATGCGGTTCAAGTGATGGCAAACAAAAAGCCCTGCCATTTAACTATGGAGAAAACTGCAAAAAAGTTAAGGCCTAATGTGGACGACTGAAACAGGGTGAGACTAGCAGTGTCAATGAAGTGGTTGACAAGGACAATAGGTGGCGAAATTGGAAAGGAGGAGATGAGATTTTTTTTTCTCTGTCTTGTTGCTCTCAGGCACAAGCTGCAGCTGTCTATGTCTAGCAGTGTTTTGCACGATTCTCCAGGGTTACCTCACAGGATAACACATCAGACTGGCACATGCAAATCTCTCCCCATATCTGTTGCACAGCAGAGAAACAGAGGGAGTGAGAGAAAAAAAAAAAAATCACACTGTGAGAGTAAAACACTATCCAGGCAGTGATCAAAGACACATTAACATAGGGCTTATGTTCACACAGTGACTAAAACAGTTTGTTTTATGAAATTTAGAGTACTGCATGTTTTCCAAACTCATTTAATTTACTCCTCTTCTGGACACAGTGTTGTTCAGCGTAACATTCAGGAAGAAGTACACTTCCAAATGCGGCCCCGTAGTCACACATATGTGCTTATCTTTGCTGAATCTCTCTGACATCTGCTCATCTCTTGGTTGTCGGATTAAATATGGAATCTCCCTGTCACCCCGTCTCTGTGTTTTATTAGAGATTCTTATGCATTGGACAGTCTGTTGTGTCAGCAAAGCTTTACTGTAGCCCATTTACTGTACCCACCATGTCATTTAATCATCTCTGCAAGTGTGGGTATTTCAAATTGTGCGTGAGTGTGTGTAGGGAGCAGAAGACAGAGGTCTGGGTGAGCACACAAGGTCAGAAACAGTAAAGAAAGAGTCCCTTGCAGATGGATTTAACTTCCACAGATCTCTCACTCTCTCTCTTTTTCTTGCCTGCCCTCCCAATCTAGATAATGCCCACTTTTAAAAACCTTATTTACAACATCCATTGATTCTGCCTTCAAGGAATGGCAAGTCTGTGTCCATTTTCTGGTCATTGTAGATGGCAAAAGTGCTGCAGAGAAACTTTCAATTAAAGCTCTTCTGTTATGCAGCAATTAGTCTGGACATGTCTCTTGTGGACTTTACTATTTGCTTTAGTCACTAAACCACTCAATTGAGACAAAGCCTGCAAACAGTAGATGCTGTTAATCTGAGCTAATGTAAGGAATCGATGATGAGACACTAAGAAAGCACCATTGAAGCCCCCTGGAGGTTATGTTCGAAAAAGTTATCTGTAAGATCACTTCTTTGAAGAGAAGGTAGAGTGAAAATGCACTGGGCTATGAAACAGAATTTGCCTGACAATATTTCTTCTGTGTTTTATGTTTGCTTCACCTTTAAATATTTCATATTATCAAAGGGGTTTTATCATGAAAGATTACCTCAGTTTTTAACAGTAACGATTTCCAAAAATCAACTTGTGCAGTCGTGAAAAAGAGATTTCCCCCTAAAGCGTTTACCTATTTAAGCCGGGCTTACACTGTGCCCTTTTCAGGGAGACTTTCCAATCGTGCAGGAATTTTCCGATCTGCCCAACTTACAGCCTGATCGTGCATCGTTTAGTGTAAACAAGGTTTAATCAGCCGCTCACGACCACCTCCCGATCAGGAATCGTGAGGTGGGGACTGTCGTGGGGAAATCGCTCAGTGGGCATTCGCAAAAACGGATTCTTCTTCTTCCTCTCAGATGTAAACACAGAAGCATGGTGGGGGTGAAAGTGAAATGGAGCTTTTTCTGTAAAATTGACAGACCGTAGTAGCTACATTTTATCAGCCAGGTCTTTGTCCAAATACGTAATCGAATTTTCTTTTTAGCGCTTTCAGCACAAAATTGTACAAACTGCCAAGGGAGCGCAGTTCACTCTAGTGAGCTTCTTATTCCTCTGATACTCATTTGGCTTCTGGATAGACGAGTCAGATTAGCGCCATCTCACTGCAGAGCTGAGTCCGACGTGGTTTTTAGACGTATAGTGTGTGCAGGTCGATTGCATCAGGACGTCGAGTCTAAGTGTGAGAACATACATTGTGAGCTGTGAACTCAGACTGTACGACGAAACCTGTAGGTGCGTACAACAATTGGGAAATTCGCACAGTGTAAGCCCTGCTTTTGAGGCAGAACCAACTGTCTTCAAGTATGACCAACAGCTTGTATTTTTTACATCATAGTGTAAAAAAAATACCCTGCTTCTCTGAAGTTGGTGTTTCAATTCAACTACATTAAAGGGATTCCAACCACAAATCCTCTGATTAGGCAAAAACACTTTTTTTTGCTGCATAAAAAAGCAGGCCTGAGCATTACAATGGCCAGTTATCCTTTCAGTGTTTCTAGTAAAGAGTAGTAGTCATGGTTCTATCAGTTAATCCACGTTTTCCAGGTTTTAAAGTGCCAAAGTACTACCAAATCATCACTGCATCATGTCTGACCTTTTTTCTTTCTTTTCTGTGTTTTCTTCTTATAACCTGTGTTTGCTTTACACTCATAGGTTTTGAGAATCTCTTTGAGTATATATAGGATTACTGGATCATGAACCCTGGTTTTAACTGAGGAATTTAGAGGCCTACAATGTTTTAAATGATTTAAGTGATGCATTCTTAGGCAGCTAAACTAAATAAGGCAAAAATAACAGAAATCTGTAAGGAGATAAATCTTCTCTCCCACACGTGTTTGATCAAGACCAAGGCCCCCCCAAAGCTCTTTGTACTACAGTAGATTCACACACTGATGGTGGCAAGCTACATTGTAGCCATAGCTGCCTTGGATAGAAATCAGGCTTTTGTACACAGGAGCCAGAAGGCCCTCTACTACTATCAACATACAGTGAATTATTTTGTTCAAGGACATAGAGATCAAGACAGTGACGGCCGGGGTTTAAATCAAAGATTTTGAAATCTTTGGTATATGTAAAATATTTGCATTCAGGCTTAAAAGTCCCATTTACACTACCCATTTGAAACCCTGCCGAGAACGGTCCAAGCACAGTAAACGAGATAATTATAACTTGAGTGTAAATGGAACGCAACTGAACTCGACTGTGCCAGACACAACTGATAACAAACAGTGCATGAGAAGACCGTGTCATCTTCTATTTACAGTCAGCTGACTCATTCCGTGGGTTTTCCGCCATGTCTGGCTTTATAGTTCATTGATCTCTTCACCTGTTCAAAACATAAACTTTTTTCTCAGCCTATTTACAATAAATGGCATCAAAAGAGCGTGGTGTGACCTGGGATGATGCCGAGACCGAGGCTCTGATTGAAATCTGGGCAGAGGACGCTATCCAGGCACAAGTTCCTGAATGTTATAGGTCCCGCTATTTTTGTTTGTGCAATTCCTGCCTTGAGAGCTGTAGTTTCGTGGACCGCCACTAGGAGGCGAGGAACTGTGCTAGCGTTATGTGTAAATGGTCGTAAGAACCAAACTCAGCATGATTAACTGATCCAAGTTTGGTCCAAGCTCGGCATGGATCTATTTCAGATTATCACTGTAAATGGGGCATAAGGTTTAAGTTGAGGCACATGGAAAATGTATGTTTTTAAATCAGCTATTAAAATGCTTTTGTGTTTAGACTCAAGAAAAGTTAAACTAACTTTATTGTTCGAAAATCAGCACGCTCTACTTTCCTTGTTTTCATCTTTTCTCGACCTGAGAAATACTGTAGGTTTGACACTATGCTTCAGATCTCTAAATAGTATTTTAGCTACTACTTGCTTTTATTAACTTCAGGAAGTTTTATGAAACACATTTCCCCCCCGCTCAGGGTGCCATTGGAGTTTATTGACATCATCCGAATCCCTTCTGTTTCTCCTAGACCTATTTTTTTTATCACTGCCATCACTTCTAATTTTTTTTCTCTGTTTTCTCACTTTTAGAAACTGCATGTCTTCAAGAAGACTCTCCAGGCCTTGATCTACCCAATTTCATCGACTACACCCCACAATTTTGAGGTGTGGACGGCAACTGCTCCCACCTACTGTCATGAGTGTGAAGGTCTGCTGTGGGGCATCGCCCGCCAGGGCATGCGTTGCTCAGAGTGTGGTGTTAAATGCCATGAGAAGTGCCAGGACCTGCTCAATGCAGATTGTTTACAAAGTAAGAAGTTATTTAATTTTATACTGCAACAGACCGGAGGTTAAAAAATGTAATTATTTTAAAGATTTTTTGTTTCTCCAGATTTATTTTTAAATGTCTAACTCAGAGGTCTCAAACCGGTTCCAGAAAGGGCCATGTGGCTGCAGATTTTCTTTCCAACCAAGCAATTGCACACCAGACTCCAGTCACGTCATGAGTGCAATGTGAACATGATGACTTGATGAGATGACTGGAGTCTGGTGTGCTATTGCTTGGTTGGAAAGAAAACCTGCAGCCACACGGCCCTTTCTGAAACCGGTTTTAGACCCTTGGTCTAACTGATATAGAAAATTATGTAACTGAGTGTTTTTACCATCTTCCAAACCAAAGTTTTGTCCTTGCCACTAACTATTTATTGCTCAGGTTTGGCATACTCCCCTGAAAAGGTTCAGATTTTTGAGTTTGGAACTGGTCAATCAGTTGTTTGTGATTTATCAAACTGCAACAAACAGCAATAGCTGATATCTTGGTGCATCTTAAACATCTTTACATACTTCTTCTCTTATCTATGTACCGCATAATCCAAAACATCTACGCTGTTTTGGATTATGCAATACATACATCTCATACCCTTTGCTACTTTCTGCATTTTTGTCCCAGTGTGAGCCACTCCACTCTTTACAGCATCCAGCCAGCTTTGTCTTTCAGGCACTATCTTGTTATTACAGGGTAGAACACTACACACTATGAACAACGTGACTCTTCAGGATGGTCCCTTCAGCAATGCTCTCACGCTCTAAGTGGATTATCCTCACCCCGGCTGTTATAAAACTCTTGGTTTTATATATTTTTATACAAGTACAAAATGTTTTATGCTGTGAATTATCCTTATCTTTACTCCAATCTTCTCTTATTACCACACATCTGATATAAAATATTCTGATCAGATAATATTATAAGGCTATTTTTACATGTACCTGTTTTTTCTCATAGGCATTATTATGAAGAATAAATTATCTAGACAAACGTTAAATCTGATAAACTGCTCTCTAAAGAGCACACACCTGCATAGATTACTAAGAAATTGAGATTGAAATTAACAACGTGGATTAGACATTTATCTCACAAAAGCTTTTGACCGCTTTTAAGGGGCCGTGGAGAAAAGTTCGAAGCATGGAGCAGAAGACAAGACTCAAAATATCATCATGGCTATGAAGGAGCGTATGAAGATCAGGGAGAAGAACCGACCTGAGGTGTTTGAGGTGATTCAGGAGATGTTTGAGGTCTCTAAAGAAGAATTTACCTCCCATTTGAAGACAGCCAAACAGGCTGTGCTGGATGGAACGTCCAAGTGGTCTGCCAAAATCACCATAACAGGTTGGCCTGCTTTAATAATGAACTAAATCTCACTATTCAGACTATTAGTCAATGTTTTGTGCTTAGCCATGCCTTTGTATGTATTTTCCCTAATGATGCTGTACGTGACCCATTGAACATAAGCTTTTAATTACTTCTTTCAATCATGAAAAATGCCAGCAGGGATCTGAAATGACAAACATTTTTTATAATGATTGATAAATGCTATTTCTAATTATTTTACATTAATTAAGCAGTTTTTTTTATAGGAGTGGGACTTTATGAAATTTTGATATAGCTGTGTTAACAGATATAAGATAAGCAGTTGGATGGTTTAATTACAGGAAAGGCTGAAATAAACAGACACATCAAACGACAAGCATTGTGTTTGTTTAGGCATGCATGTTGGAGAGAGACGTGTTATATTTATGTCAATTGTTATAATTCCTGCCCATTACATTGAATTGAAGTAAGTATGGGTGTTTGTGGCAAGTCAGCACAGGCACAACTCCCAATTAACAAAAAACCTAAAACCCATTATTTTTATTATTTTATTATGTAAATAAATGTTTTTAATCAAGTTCAGGAAAAAACAGGTCTCTGATTTTTTCTGAATAAATAGATAAATATAAATTAGCAATACATGTAAGAACCTATTACAGTAAACATACCCCTATTACCTTAAACAAATACTATTATATTTTCTGATTATTTTTTATGGATTCAGTCCATCTTCTTTTTAATGATCAAGTTAAAATGAAGAATTGTTACTATTTTTACTATTTGTAATGTTGCCTTAAGATAATTCCTGTTTTTTAAATCTTAATGTTAGTCTTGAGCGTACTTTAAGACATTACCCTTTGAAATATTTAGTAAGTGTTGCACCACAACAGAACCTGAAGCTGGCTTATTGACTTGTTAGGCATGTTTGTGGTGCATATGTGGATTGAAGTGTAAACCTTAAATCTATTGCAGAAATTAAATATATAGATCACACATGAAAAGGGGGGTATTCTCCCATTAGATTTGGGTTTAGTTTCCTATTTTAATGGCAAAAATTGTGGAAATAAGTAGGGTAATTTATACTTTATTTGGTATCTCTTCCTGAAGGTAAAGGCCTATTCAGCACTGGCTTTGTGAATTTCAGTCTGTGTCCAATAACAGATTAGAAAAAGATTACCCACTGTGAAGAAGTGGTGTTGAATAATATGGTGTAAATGGATCAAAGAAAGTTGATGTGAATTCAATGGCAGTTTTTGATGTTCTTATATCTAAATGAAAAATTCAGCATTTGACTAAATCAATAAGCCAGCAGTGTGTTTGGTAACTGCGGGCTTAGCAGCTGTCTGCCTTCTTGGTATGTCAAGCCTTCTTTGACATTTACAAATTTGTGTTTTGTAGATGTTAAGCAAAATGCTGTATAAATTGACCTGTTGATTTACTTTTTCAGTCTTTAACCAAATAGAATATCATATTGTTTATCTAGTGTTTAATGGAATTGTCACAGTTAAAAGTATAAATATATTTATAAATCAAATAAAAAAGTATTTTGCTTATTTTTTGAGTTTTTTTATTTAAATTATCATATTAGGCTATTACTTTACAGATAACCTTATTATCTAACTATAACAATTAGAAATACATTTATAGGAAAAATAAAATTACAAACAGGTTTAGCAATGAATTTCATATTTGACCTTTTTATTTAAATAAATGACTCCTTCATACCTAAAATTACTGGTTGTTCAGTTCAATTTTAATTATGTTTTTTTAAACAGCTCTGATTCACAACACATATCATCTCAAGGCATTTTACAGAGATAGTTCAACCAGATCATACAGCCAGATTGGTAAAAAAAATAATATTTAAATTTAAAACAAGCTGATTGCATCGATCATTGACCTGTAGGGTACGGTCCTCCTGGATGAGCATGTGGTAACAGCAGATACTCGATACATACAGTATTTGCTTGCATTTTGTTGTCGACCAAAATCCCTCACACAAAGCATGCATGAAGGGACAGTGGAAAGGAAAACTTTTTAACAGAAAGAAACCTCCAGCAGAACCAGGCTCAGTAAGAGCGGCCATCTGCTGAGGCCGACTGGGGTTCAAGGAGACAGAAGCAGACATAAAGGAGGAGCATAGAAGCACCAATCAATGTATATGTTCTATGTTTGAAAAGATTATGGTAAATTAGCTCCACAGCTGGCTCTGTCTAAGAAAAAAAAAACAGTAAAGCTGATGATCTCTGAGCCAATTTTCTTTTCAAAGGGATGAGGGAGAGCACATATAGTTAGTCACTGTAAAGGCTTAGTCATATCTATGTGTAGGAGAGAAACAGAACTAAACACTATGAAAAAACAGGCTATCATCTCTAAACAAAAATGTTGATGGCAGCAGCACAGCTGATATTTCTCTCCAGGATGGAGTCACAGCCAAACAGGAACAGATCATTTTAAAGTAAAATGAGGAGAAAAAGCAAAGGGAACATAAAGTTAGGGGATTAACAGACAAATACTGCAGAATGGGACAATAGAAGCTAATAGAATGAAGCAGCCTATCACAGCATAACTATAGACATAGCTTCGGATTGCCTTAGTCACTCTAACTATAAGCTTTATCAAAAAGGAACGTTTTTTTGGTGGAAAGGATTGATTTGTTGAGATTGCTGGAAATCCAACCTTTTTCTTTTTAGTATCCTAACACTTTGTTTTTACAGGATTCACTTTTTCACCTTTTTTAAGGAGTTTAATTTGAAACTTGGAAGCAAGCAGGTCGCAGACCCCCCAAACCACTATATCTTTCCCCCAACTTCTGTCAGCTTTGTGCTGAATGATATATATGTACCCTGAATAATTTAGACTAACTTATGCATATTTAATGCTGCAGTGTCCTTTTTCCCTTTTATGTTGCTAGTGAAATACTACAGTCTTTCCCTTACTTTGCCTACTATTCTGAATCACCGCTCTTTGTTTGAAACAAAGAACCAAGTCAGCACTTACACATTATAGCAGTGGGATTGTACATAAGGCTGCAACCTACCTTAACCCAATGTTTAAGTTAAAGAAAGAGTGAACTATGAATTAAAGTTTAACAAAATAACAAGGGCTGCTTGTTTTTTATATATGCATTTATCTAGCAAGATGACCAAGGCACAGGTTTGTTTTTCAATCATTGTTTTTCTCTACACTACTGCTGTCCAAAAATGCCTAGATTTTAAATATTATTCTATCGCTTATTAGAATCCTATTAAAATTTTATCTGCTACCAATCTCTTCATCGACATATTTCATAATAATGAATAAAAAAGTAAATGAAAATGATTTAATCTATAAAATAACTTATCAATACTTAAGTAATAAAATAATTAGTGGCTGAGTTATACTTAGTAGATCAGACAAATGCTATGTTAAAGTTCTTAGCATATATAATAGTCGTATTTACATATATTCTTTACTGTATTTAATAAATAAACATGTCAGAATAGCTGGAAATCATTGTGGTTGTTACATAAGCAACCTAAATGTGCAATTCTTGCCCTTCTGCTTTCTGGTAGACTGATTACTGTATGTGGGTCATACAGACATGGATTGTAGGTCAGTAAGACACAGCTGGCATATTAAAAAACTTACAATTATGTGGCTTGATTTGAAACAATGCATTCATTGTCCAAACCCATCTCAGTAAATTAGTTTATTCACTGACTCATTTCAGTAATGCAAGTAAAAATGAAAAACTGATATGAATTCACATCATGCAGATATATATTTCAATGTGTTCATTTCTAATTTTGGTTGTATGACATACAGGTAATTACTAAACACAACTGAAATATAATAACAACGATATATCAAAAAGCACTTATGCATTAGTACAAGAACTCTGCATTTCATCAGATATCTTTTGCATCAACTCACCATTCCATGATGGAGAACAGCCTTTGGTTCTGTTCTGCTGTGATGGAAACATTGATTGTCTCTGGCATTTAGGAAAAACCAGTTGTTCTGGTTCAACCAGTGTCCTTTTATTTTTGACTCTTTTAACTACTCATCCAATCTCTATATCTAAAAATATTATCTTACTTCGTATAGATTTGCTGATTGCTGTATTGAAAAGATTTCTTCCTGTCTTTTGTTCAGTAATGTGTGCACAGGGATTACAGGCCAAGGACAAAACTGGATCCAGTGACCCATATGTCACAGTCCAGGTGGGGAAGACCAAACGCAGGACCAAAACCATCTTTGGCAATCTTAACCCTGTTTGGGATGAAAAGTTCCACTTGTGAGTGCTTTCTATATGTTTATGTGTATATATACTGTATATGGCATGCCATTTTGGAAATTGTATTGGAATGAAGCTTTGAATTTATTGAACGAAAGTTGGCCTGAAAGAATTCTGGGTAATGTAGTTTCAAATTAGATAGATAACTGAAAACTTAAACCCATTAGGCCAACTCACACATTCTGGCTTGTTAAAAGCTGTCATACCAGTCTCAAAAGTTTGAATTAATTCAGTTGTTTTCATTTAAAATTAAAAAAATATTGATTAACGTAATCAATGAATAAATAAAACCCCTGCTAAATAACATCCATGCAACAGCCCCTTTTTTCCCCTCACTGTAGATTTAGATGATCTCATTTGGCCATTTAAGGTGGTCGTTTAAGTGAGTGGAGTTGGTGAAGTCTCTGTATTTCTGCCTGTGGGAATGAACCAGACCAGGAAAAGTGAAAAGAGATGCGGGGAACGGGATGGGGAGAGCAAAGAGGCTCAGACAAAAGTGGACATAGCTAAATATGGAGGAGAGTACAGACTCTGGGAATTTACATATCTGGAGTAAAACAGATAAGATGCGTGTACAAAAAAAAAAAAAAAAAACTTTCCACAAAACACAAATTTATGGCAACAATATACTATTTTGTGGCTTGGAAATTTTAATTTGTGTGCAGTAAATATTAAATTGTGCGCATAAAATATATTTGATGTTGGCACAAAATCCTGATCCATTTCCATGGCGTACTTCATACATGTTTGTGGCCACACAACATTGGTATAATGTATGAGCAGTGGGAGGCTTAATGAGGCACTTGTTTTGCTTTGGCCTGATATAACTGCCTGGCTGATGAACATTTTTTATACATTAAATTTCCTCACTTTCAATCACAATAGGAGAAGTTTTATGTTCTTGAGATATTTGGGGGTCCAGTCTAATCTTCTTTTTCAAATTTCCGACTTAAAAAAGTGGATTTAACCTCTGCACTCATGCAGTCCATATTTTGCGCAGTGCAGCACTGATCACGTTTTATTTCAAGCCAAGAGCTTTTATGGCTTCTCCTTTTCTCTTGGTCGATCATAATCAATACTTTATAACATATAGGCTTCATCCTTTAGGCCTATTACTAATGGGTTAAAGATGGAGCAGTATGTTATCCATATAAACCTATGGAAACAATAAAAACAAAGCATTTAGTCACACGGAACAACTGTAAAGTCAGCCTTCCGCATGTGTAAATATGCACTCCATTACGCAACCGAGTAACAGATTGAAAAATAAACGCTAGTCAGGGCAGAGGCTGAGATCACAGATCTAAGGTTGAGAATAATGACCACAAAAGTTACAAATTATAGCATTAAAATAGTAATAGAAATAATGGATGCAAATCAGTAAGCTGATCATGTGTAATACAGCATAACAAGCCCCGTTTGCCAAATGCACAGCTGCAGTTGGAAATAAACTGACCACTTGAGACTTGATGAGACTCAGCTCTACAGGAAATGATCTAGAAGCCACTTTGCCTCCAAATCATTTTATATATATTTTCATATATATTCTCCATCTCCTCTGCCTGTATCTTTAGTGACCATGATTGCCAGTCGGCAGGTGTTTGTGATATAAATTGTGAGCGAGGAGCTTTAGACTAAACCCATAAATGTTTTTCAAGAAACAAAAATGCTTCTATTGTGATAGAAAGCAACTTTAATGCATAACAAACGGGCATGCGCCTGGCAGTTATTGTTGGGCAAAGCCAAATAACTGCCCTGTTAAGTTCCCCACCTCTCAGCTGAATCTGGTGCCGCTGCACATCATATATGTTGTGGCCATAAATAGGTAGGTAGACATAGATCAGTGCTTGCAGACATGAAATAGGTTTTTTTTGGCACAATTTAATATTTCTCGCCCACAAATTATTGTTTCAAATAGTATTTTGGTGTCCCAGAAATGAGTATTTTAAGGTAATTAGTAATCCAGAAAATGTGATAGAATACACATTGGCTGATTTTGAATACATAAGACTGGTAAGGACTCTTTAGCGAAAGTGTGTCTCAGTGTTTGCCATTATAAATGCTGAATGAATAGTGTTTGCAATAAGAAGGGAGTTAGGTAAAGGTTTCTGTATGCTTCTTATCATAGTTCCTTTAGGATGGAGGGATTTCAAGGTCCCTCACTGGTGCTAAGGAGCTAAAAAGAATCCCTTGTGTGAAATAACACATTTGCACAGCACACCTTGCGGAAATTAACAAAAAAGCATTATTGCCTCCCATTTACCATTTGTGACAAGCAAATGTGTCTACCTTCATGTTTTAATTTTTGCAATGGAGAGCTCAATCTGTTTTCTACATCTGAGCAACTTTTGTTTTTTTTTATAGTTCATTTTTGTTTGACTAGCACTCATGTTTTTTCAGAACATGGTGAGTTCTGGATAGTTAAGGCTTGCCAAAATTGGCATAGCAGTCTGGACTTCCTTTCCTACACTTGATGGATTTCTTACTCCACAAAAGGTGAAGGATCAGGATCCAGGAGCAATAATTTGATGTATTCTGTCTCAGCTGTTATGAGAGAATCAATGGAGTCAAGCAAGTTAGCAATACTAGTGGAGGTGTGAAAAGATAAAGAAAAAGTCCAGGAACAAGTAAGAAAAAAGAAAAAAAAATACTGGATGCCAAGAAAGATAAAACAGGAGTAACACTCAGAATACAATATAAATGTTGGTTTTCACAGTGGTTGGTGCTAAAGCTGTGGAAGCCTTCAAATCTTAGCAATCTGATGGATGCTGATTGAATACACAGCCTTACTAATGCTGATACTAATGATAGCAGTGCTATTCCTAGGCTCGTGTTGGTGACTGAGAGTTTATACAGAATGTAATGTGAAAAATATTTGACATTGCTCTTGTTTCCTTTCTGGGAGCAGCTGGTAGATGATGATGACGATTAAACGTTTATTAGTGCCTATGGCACCAAGTGCAAAAATTGTTTTAGGCAAAAAAGGATGAAGTAAGCTCTATCACCTATAATGCTTGATTTAATTAATAATGCTTTATAATGCTTAATAATGCTATTTTCACATTAAAAAAATAATTATATGTTTGTAGTCAGAGATGATAAATAGGCCTCTTTAATGCAACCTGAGATTCCTTAATACCTCATCAGAACCGCAGGCTGACTGTCTCCTTGCCACGTTGCATTGATGCAGTAGTCCTAACCAATTATTAAGGGCATTTACTAAACTGTACATGGACATACAATGCATCTCAGAAGGCTAATATTTCCATATCCATGAAGCGTTTTTTTTATTCCTCTTGAATTTTTGTCAGATTTTCTCTAGCTGTATATCAACTATAGGCCAAATACCTTTACATTATGGAGAAAGATGTTTTTTTAGGCTCTGAATTGAATCTACAGCACATTTTTTTATTTTTTAATAAGGCCATTTTAATTGATATGTGTTTAGTTAACACAGTTCATTAATTATTCTCACATTCCTTTTCATTTTGCTCTGTAGTTCTCAACATGGCAACCTATTAGAGTACGGGTGCTGTTAAATGGGTTGCTTAGTTTTCTCTCTTATCTAAAAGAAGTGGGTTTTAAATTAATATCTTGCAAACAAGTTTCTAGGAAACAACTTTGAACATTTTTTTGATCTCCAAAGCAGAGGCGTTCGATTCCCTTTCAAGGGGTTGCTATGGTGATCTCAATAGATGTTGCTTTTGTTGACTAAAATGCAACAAGAAATGTATAGACAAAGACAAACAAGATTTTTTTTTTTATGAAATGCCTTATCAGGCTTTGCGTGTAAAGTAATTTACCTTCAACTCCATTTGCTATCTAAATCTCCAGCACAGCACTGATTAGTTATTCCCTTCAGGTTAGTTCAAATGCAGTAATTAAAAAAACAAATTAACAAATAAAACAAATGCATGATTTTACTGGTCTAGATGGGTGCAAGAATAGTGAAGCTTCGTCTTGAACGTAATTATGTTTGCCGATCTTCCTTCTTTTTTTTTTAACATATCCAGCAATGGACTCTTCCCGTAGCCTGTCATACTGAGAGTTTTTGTCTACAGAAGATGGTCAGTTTTGCATTCCTTTTTTGGTTGTATACTACAGAGATTTTCTGAATGTTTGCAGGCAAGGCTCAATGCCTGTAAAGAGACTCCTGTGGTGGCTGTAATAAAACTCTTTCCTTTTACTACAGGGATGTAGATTAATAGAGCAATACATTACTGTGTGCTTAGCAGAGACTCCTGCCACAGTGCTGCAGCAGCCTCCTCTTTCCCTACAATGAGATTACTCAAAATAAACACTGCAGATATTGTGCATGTCAAACACCACATGCCAATAGTAGAAGATGTAATATGTTGGTTTCAGTTCTTAAGTACGTAAGCTTAAACCCTTCTGAGTCTGCTTTAGACAATTCGGTTCTCCTAAGATGTTCTTAGTTGGTGTCAGAAGGGCAGTATAGTCAGACTTGTGTAACGGAATTGAACATTATATTCATACCCCTAGAACATTTTGACATTTAGTCACAATCTTTAAACTTTAGTTTATTTAATTTGATCTTATTATTATAGACTACCACAAAGTAGTGCATAATTATAAAGAAGAACCACGTTTTTAACAAATAAAAAACTGACTGAGCTACAGAGAAGCACTAGTTGGTTCTTTAGGAAGAACTGTTATAATTATTATTGAGATAACTCCACAAGTCATATAGAAAACACAGCAAACAGGTAAAAGATACTCCAGTCATGTGGGACTAAAACTTTAATGAGACAATAACTTTATTTAACCCGTATGCAAGATGTTGTGTTGCAAAAATTTAACACTGCAAATATCCCTGAACAAACTATGGACAGGTTGAAATATAGTGGTGGCAGTATGATCCTGGGGATGTTCTGATTTACCAGGAGGGTTTTTGGTTGTAACCAGTGTTGTTTTTGTCAACGATGACGTAACAAAATTACTTGACGCTCCTTTTTTTTCATGACGATTACAGGAACTGACGAGCTAAACAAGGATCTTTGTTGTCGAAAACTTGAGTTATTAGTGTGTGTTTTTGTCAATGACTAAATAAAAATAAGCGGGTGGTCGGTCAGACATTTGAGTTGCTTTATTGTACTGTAATCTGCCAAGCAGTCACAGGCCTGCTGCTGCGTCCTGTTTGATCATGCAGTCCTCCTGCCGTGCAGCGGTGCTCATTCTACATGAGCACAGATGGGTGATGGCAGCAGCAGCGGCGTGAAAATAATCCAGAATAGTTCATGTGTCAGACAGAACACCGGTACTGCGCACTGAACTCTGACAAACTAAACTTCTATTTGTGCTTGTGCAGAAATGGGCACTTAGCTTTGCTTCACTCTATTCTCCACACTGATGGTTTCGCTCTCAGCAGTATGGCTCTTCTATCGCTACTTAATAAACCCTGTGGCTGATCATCCTGTGCCAAGCATAAAAAACCCTCTCTAACTATCAATATTTTATTTCCTCCAGCTCATGAGGTGATGCTAAACATTCTTTAATTTCTACCAAAAAGAGTCCCTAAATTATATACATACTATATTTGCATACTGTTTAGTTTTTTTNTTTAACAAATAAAAAACTGACTGAGCTACAGAGAAGCACTAGTTGGTTCTTTAGGAAGAACTGTTATAATTATTATTGAGATAACTCCACAAGTCATATAGAAAACACGGCAAACAGGTAAAAGATACTCCAGTCATGTGGGACTAAAACTTTAATGAGACAATAACTTTATTTAACCCGTATGCAAGATGTTGTGTTGCAAAAATCTAACACTGCAAATATCCCTGAACAAACTATGGACAGGTTGAAATATAGTGGTGGCAGTATGATCCTGGGGATGTTCTGATTTACCAGGAGGGTTTTTGGTTGTAACCAGTGTTGTTTTTGTCAACGATGACGTAACAAAATCACTTGACGCTCCTTTTTTTTCATGACGATTACAGGAACTGACGAGCTAAACAAGGATCTTTGTTGTCGAAAACTTGAGTTATTAGTGTGTGTTTTTGTCAATGACTAAATAAAAATAAGCGGGTGGTCGGTCAGACATTTGAACTGCTTTATTGTACTGTAATCTGCCAAGCAGTCACAGGCCTGCTGCTGCGTCCTGTTTGATCATGCAGTCCTCCTGCCGTGCAGCGGTGCTCATTCTACATGAGCACAGATGGGTGATGGCAGCAGCAGCGGTGTGAAAATAATACAGAATAGTTCATGTGTCAGACAGAACACCGGTACTGCGCACTGAACTCTGACAAACTAAACTTCTATTTGTGCTTGTGCAGAAATGGGCACTTAGCATTGCTTCACTCTATTCTCCACACTGATGGTTTCGCTCTCAGCAGTATGGCTCTTCTATCGCTACTTAATAAACCCTGTGGCTGATCATCCTGTGCCAAGCATAAAAAACCCTCTCTAACTATCAATATTTTATTTCCTCCAGCTCATGAGGTGATGCTAAACATTCTTTAATTTCTACCAAAAAGAGTCCCTAAATTATATACATACTATATTTGCATACTGTTTAGTTTTTTTTCTTGTTTCTATCTATTTAGATTTGATGTGAACGTTTCCTTGTATTATTATTAAAACATTTCCTCTGTTTCCTTTAAATATTTCAACATGTTAGTTAGCATATTCATTCAAATTAGGTCTAGATTGCCATGGCATTACAAGTCAATTATAGAGGGTCTCTCTTTATTTTTTTTTCAATCAAAACCCTGTGTATTTAAATCTATTTTGACCCCTGAGGAGCAGTGACCAAGGGGTAAATTCTCAGAAATAAAGCCAAAATTGCCAAATTAGAAAGAAGAATGTTTTTGTTCTTTGCTTGTTTGGATCAATGAAGATTTTATTGATCTGTGTGTAATGCATAATTCATAGTAGATCAGTAAGTGTTTGCTTTGGGATGGAAACCTTATGTGTCTAAAACCATTCCTTTATTGGACATTTTGCTAGCTTGTCTGCCTGCTATATTAACCAATATAGCAGAACTAGATCTGCTATTTTTACTACTTTAGTGACACACTTTTTCAAAAAGTAGGGAATTAATGCATAAAAAGTTTATTTGAATTCTAAATCAAAGTTTTTTGCCCAACAGCAATGAAGAACTGCATGGCAGCATTCTATACCCAGCTATTGTACAATCTAGGCTACAGCTGTTAGTCTGGTAAAGAATCTGTTTTTTATCCAAAATTATAAAGGTTAACTTTTCTTTGTAACATAAAACTAGACTAAAACATTTTTAAGTTTTGGTTGACTAAAAATGACTAAAATCACACATATCATAATGACTAAAACTAATAATAGTTTTCGTCCTGAGGACTAAAACTAAGACTAAATCTAAGATGGCTGTCAAAAACAACACTGGTTGTAACATAAGAAAATGTGATAAAGTTCAAGGGGTGTGAATACGTTTTAAGGACTTTCCTGTCTAAATAGTTTTCTAAATAAAGCTGACCAATAAAGGGTGCTTTTAAAGTTATTGTTTTTTTTTATGCTTCTCAAAAAGCTGTCAGTTTGTGCCCAGACCTGACCTTGTGATTTAGTTGAGACGGCCTCTCTCTCCTCTGCTTATTACACCATGATAAACTGTGACTCTTGGTGCTGCTGAGTTTATATTGCTGTGTTTGTGGCTGAGATGACCAGGGAAATTGTGTTTCATCTTACAGCGAATGCCACAATGCCACTGACCGAATAAAGGTGCGTGTTTGGGATGAAGATGATGACATCAAATCACGGGTGAAACAACATTTCAAGCGTGAGTCAGACGATTTCCTGGGGCAGACCATCATTGAGGTTCGCACACTCAGCGGCGAGATGGATGTTTGGTACAATCTGGGTATGTTACATTTTTTGACTCTGAACTACTGATAAATACATGTGTGATTTATAAAAAAAAAAAAAAAAATCACAGTACATTGTATATACAGATGTATCTATCCTGTACCTAAAAATACCAACTCAGTGGTAATAACTCATTTCAGCACCAGATTTGTTTTATTTAAGTTAAATTACTTAATGATATAAATTTTAAATCAGGGCTTTTAAAAATAGGAGTCTAAATTGTTTTTTCTACCAATACAGAAAACCTTAAAAATCAATTAAAACATTGTCCATATTTTAAAACCTAAAAGTGATTGTTTCATTGGTAAATAGGAACTTACATAATTTTTTTTTGTAAGGACAGGCTGATTGTAAGTTTAGAAAATAAACATGGAAATAGAATATATCAAAATATATTGTACTTTTCACCCAATATCTCTCTGATTAACTGCTTAGACCTACATAAATTAATACTTTTTACTTCCTTCACATTTTTTTTAACATTGAAGAAAATATTAATATTATCAAAATGCTAAAAATAATGTCAGTTGTTAAGGTAGAAAGTGAAAACAGTTTATGACTTTACAAGCTGATCTCTTATAGGCCTTTACTTTTCTTGAATTTTGACGATTTTAGTCTGTAACAAACCAAAAATAAAGTTTATATGAAAACTTGTAATATCCAGAAAAAATTTGATATATAAAACTATATAAAGATTTTTAAATATTTTTAATGGTTTTTTTAATCCATAAGGCAAGGGTCACTACAAATGAAGCTAGCTGTTTACGGTTGCCTAGCAGGAGGGCGAGTTGAGTGGATGGAAATAAATGTGGATAACTTCAGCCTTGAGGGTATTGTAAAAAAGGGGAAATTTAAAGGCTTCGTCTGCATATGGAATCCAATCTCTCAGATACCTCCAGTACATGGGCTTCAACTTTAACAACCTTATTGTTTAGCCACTCCTGAACTAGAGACCATCAAAAGAGTTTCTAATGGGCTGAGAAAGAGAGGATGTACAGTTACTGTTCCATAGTGACCAGGAATTGCATTTTATTTAAAAAAGTTGAGCAATACTCCATACTGTCTTCCAGTTAAAAGTTACCGTAGATAACAAGCATAGATCCATTTTCTTCTGATCCAATCCGAGACCGATACATTGAGTCAACGTATGGTTTATCCAATGTTACTAATCAAACTAAAGTTTAATAAATTAACTGTTCAACTTTCCATGTGAGTAAAGGCATTCTGTTTGAGTAAAACCCCTTAAAAAAAAGCTAACAATTTAAAAAATATAGACTATCACCAGATGCTCTGTGGCGCTTTGCAATAATATGATCAGTTTTGGAATCATAACATGAAAGTCACTAGATCGCTGTAACTTTATTGCTCTGTATGAAATCAATTAAAATGGATATGGATGGATCAGAATACAGGATCTGCATCATTCATGCGATATCTGATCCAGCTATAATCTCCATATTGCGCTGTGTAGGTGCAGTAATTCATCCAAACGGATCAAGAAATAAATTTACAAGGTGTACAGTACCTACAGATCTTTTTCAGTACAACATTTCTGAATAAAATTCCTGTTAATTGTTGCTTATGAACATTTTGTGATTTATTGTATTTTTGTTGCATCATCCTTCAGCAAAAGGAACTTATACTGGGCAATTGATCTATATAAGTGCCTTTAACTTTTGGAATGAATTGAAATAAATACATTTTCCAGTGATATCCTAACATTTTGTGATGCACCATTATCCCGCTTAGCTATTCGAGCATCAGTGGTTGCTTTTCCTCTTTTGCACACAGTATTGCATGAGGTCAAGCTGTATCATAATGAATTCTTCTACTTCCATTACAGTACTATGACTGGGGGCTGTCTCTCTTTGTTTGCCTCTTCAGTTGAAAGGAGGCAATTTGTGGTTATAGTGACCCCTGAACCAACACTGCTGCTGTGCTCCTTTTTAAATGTTCACAATGAATGTTTAAACAGGACATTGCTGTCATGGGTGCCCACCCCTCCACCTGCCCTCCTCTCTAAGCCTCTTCAGCTCCTCTTCATTTTGGAGCTTTTGCATTTGTAGTGCTATTCTCACTCACTTTTCAAAACTATTATTTTTCATTTTCCTGTCTCTTGACTAACTATTTTAGAGTATATGTCACCATTTAATGAGGAAAGGGTCTAAGGGGCATATCAAGCCCGCACAGTTGTGATAATGTAAGCTGTGGGATCTGTGTGTATTTACTTCTTCATTTGTGGATTTGTTTGTGTCGTTATATTTGCCATGCTTCCCAAAACACTAAGTGTCTGTAGATTAAAGCTGCAAAGCTGTGAGCAGAGATGTTTTAGCTTATGATGCCATCATCCCATTTAATGATTTTAGATCATGACATTGGGAGACTTGAATTTTAATCTTGCTGATATTTGCAAGGAGACATTTCTGCTAAGCAGTTGCCATCGTTTCTCTAACTAGGGACACTGTTTCTGTCGTTTTTCCAAGCAGCAAAATTGCAATTTATTTCTGAAAAATGGTAGAATGGTGTCTCCTGGGTAATGGCAGCAAATAATTTTTGTGCCTTCATTGTTTTGTACCTACAGTAATGTTTTTTCCATTATGGTTCTTTATCATGCAGGATTTATTTTTTTTTTTACCTGACCAATTGGGAAATCTTACCCACAGGGAAGAGATTAAATAAAACATTTTGACAGCTAATGGTGATGATAATTCCTGTCGGCTGCTCTCTTATGCAAAGGTTGCCACAGCAATTCATTACAAATCGCTAACAGAGTTTTTACACATTGTGCCCTTCCTGATGATTCAAACCCAGGTCTCCTATATAACAAATAACCTTTTACCATCAGGGACTTCAAGGATGGCTCATAATGAAACATAATTGTCTACATCCTGTGCTTTTGTGGTGTAAGAAAACCTACATACAGCATGTCTATCATAAAATCATAATATCATAAATTTTGATTCAATTGGATTAATCCATTAGAGTTAACAACTCCAAACAGAGTTTAGAGCCAACAGGGAGATAATTATACTTAATTTATAGGAAACAATATACAATTCATTTCAGTTATATATATCTAAGAAACTTTTGTTTTTATGACCATGTTTTGCACAGTTTTTCCCAACCAAAGTGAACTGATATGCTTAAGTAAAGGTACATATTTGCATAATGTTTTTGCACAATAAGAAAGGGGAGTAGGGTGAGAAATGTAGTAATGGATTGGCACTAAATGAAGACAAAATTTAGCAAAGACTTTACTTGAAATAGACCAGTGTTTAATCTTCATATGTGGTCTTAAAGCACCACTGGCATCATCAAAAGGGCTCGGCAGATATGGAACTTCTAGAGGAAACAAGCTTATTTTGCCAACAGCATTCTGACAACATTGTAAAACCTTGTGCTGAAAAGTGTGTTCAGTGTTGATTACTTAATCAGCACTAATTACAATTGACCATTCTGACTGTTTTAATGCAAATCTGTTTTTCTCATCTACTTTGTTTCCTGTTTTTCTTTTATTTAAAATGATTTCCTTACACCTATGTGGTGCTGTATGTTGGTTTAGTTCCTACCTAAGTACTTTTGGTTGTTTCATGCCTGGTGATTTTGGGTATCAGTCATTCCTTTTACTACAAGAATTTTAACACTTAGCATGCCATCAATTTGTATTTTTGCCATGGAATGTTTTGTACAACTAATGCCTCGAGTGGTTTTCTAAATTCTACACTTGTTGTTTTGTTTCAGTAAATCTGTCTGTTCCTTATCTGTCATAAGAAAGCCAATTAGAATTATTTTTGGTTTGATCAGGGGTCATATATTTTGAGAAAACTGGGTAAGTGGAGATCAGTCAAAATAAATAAAACGCGTGTTATACAAAGGTTTGAGATAATAACACAATTATTTAAAACTTACACGTTTTTTAAATTCTTTAGAAAAATTTGAAATACCCCTTGTATAAAATGCAGTGATATGAAAAGGAAGCAGGAAAGCACAGTGCAGAGGGACGAAAGGAGTGCATGAGTATGTGCAATGCAGGGGTGTCAAAGTGGTTCCAGAAAGGGCCGTGTGGCTGCAGGTTTTCTTTCTAACCAAGCAATAGCACACCAGACTCCAGTCATCTCATCAAGTCATCGTGTTCAGATTGGACTCACTTGATAAGATGACTGGAGTCTGGTGTGCTATTGCTTGGTTAGAAAGAAAACCTGCAGCCCCATGGCCCTTTCTGGAACCACTTTCACACCCCTGGTGTAAGGACTTGACGTGCAGCTGTCCTGGTTATATTTTGTCGTATTATGTATTGTAGTATCAAATCCTAAGATTAAATTGATGCAACTTTGAATTAAAAAACAGGGCATTTGGGTGATTTAAAACAGAAGCCTTACATTAACAAGATCCTGTTTGTGATTTTGTTTACCTTGAATGACATCAGGTAACTTTCTTCATCTCTCTCTTCTGCAACAGATAAGAGAACTGACAAATCTGCAGTATCTGGTGCCATCAGACTCAAGATCAGCGTTGAGATGAAAGGGGAGGAGAATGTTGCGCCTCCTCATGGCCAGTACACTTGTTTACATGAGGTAATTAAGCGATTCTGAGGTGACATTGTCCCTGTTGAATTCAGCTCTTTCTCTGATCAATCATTATTAGGCAATGATAAACAAAAATATCATGGCATGATCACACTTTTAAACCCAATTTTTCTTTTTCTTTATTCTTCTATGAATCTACAGAACCTGTTCCACTATCTGACTGAAGTGAAAAACAGTGGCGTAGTGAAGATACCTCAGGTGAAAGGGGACGACGCCTGGAAGGTCTACTTTGATGACGTGTCTCAGGAGATAGTGGATGAATTTGCCATGAGATACGGGGTGGAGTCCATCTATCAGGCTATGACGTTAGTACCTCCCTGATCTATGGCCTTTTAACTCATCAATCTGTCATTGTCTCATTGGGCAGAGTGGAGAGGAGAATTGGATGTTAGAAGGAGGGCTGAAGGAACAGAGGAGTTGTAAAGATGTCTCCTCAGCAGAATTGGAGCTGCAAAGACAATTGAGAACCTGAGTCCGTTTGATTGATTAGTTGTTAGTTAGTGGGGAATACCTTCCAACCATCATTGGTCGCATTGATCACAGGCACCCATTAACATCCTTGTTTCCCCCTCTGGCTGTTTCTCTGATCAAGTGTTACCTTGACCTCCCATAAATGTCGATTTTTTTTTTCCTATCTGAAACAAAAAGAGACATGAAAAATCTCTACTTTAAAGAAAGAGGTAGTTAGAAAATAATGATTCTGTACCTTGCTGTAATGGGTGATGTTACAAATGCCATCATATATATATATATATAGGTATATTTAAAAAGAAATCTCTCCAAGCTCGGGTCCTTTAAGCCTGGAAGCTTGAGGGTTCTGCGCAGTATCTTCTGGACCAAGATGTCTGATGTATTTCCAGGGATCCGCTGTAACCTCTCCTCAAGTTTGGGGGTCACTGCCTCGAGTGCCCCAATGACCACGGGCTCCACTGATACCTTGACTATCCAGGTGTTCTCCAGCTCTTCTCTGAGCCCCTGTTACTTACCTAGATTTTCATTATATTTTTTCCTGATGTTGCAGTCACTTGGTATTACTATCTCAACCACAACATCTTACCTCTGCTTTTTGTCCACCACTACAATGTCCGGTTGGTTTGCCATTACCATTCGGTCCCTCTGTATCTGGAGATCCAACAGGATCTTGGCTTGATCGTTCTCTATCGTCTTTGGAGATGTCTCCCACTTTGACTTTGGGGTTTTTAAAGTTTCCGGTTCCACTTTTTTTCTGCGATTCTGTTTTCTTATTCATTGGTTTCTTTTCCATTTTGTGCTATATTTATGTAGTTTTGTATTGAGTCACACTCTGTTGCCACTTTGTTCCCATTTCCTCCCCCATTAGATTCCTTCTAGTTAGTTCCACTCACACCTGCTCCATATCAGCTCATTGGCCCATTCTTTGTTCTGTTCCCTATATATACACCACCTCTGCAGTTCCTCATTGCTGGCTTCTTGTTGTTTTGTTGCTCTGTTGCTGATTTGCTCATCGTGTGTGTTTTCCCCTGGTTTTTGGTTTCTAGTATTCTGCTCTTGGATTTTGTTTCTTTTGACCTTTATTTTGTTAAACCTGCAAGTACTCATCCCTGCCTCCCTCATCTCTGCATTTGGGTCCTCAACCAACCTTCACCCTTACGTTGACAAATTTATAATGAGGTTTCACAAAACTGGCCTGTTGTTTCCCAAATTTGGTCTATATAATATCAATCCCTTAACTTTGTTCATTTAAAAGAAGTACAATCAGACCAAAGGTCAGTAATAGCCTGTTAGCATTTGAAGCATTCGGTCATTTCCCTAGAGCTTTATGGCATCCATTCTGTTGTACCACTGTTGAACATTCCTCAAATCAGAGTAAAATACAAATAGAGGAAAGATGTGAGAAAAATATAAACTTAAAGGATACTTTAATTCATTTAAATTATAATTCTGAATGTTGATATTCTTTACAGTGGTTTATAGTGTTTTTTTAAAGCTTAGGATTTTGCCCTTAGCCTTAAAACTGTTGACAATACAGAAAAGAAGCATTTTTATTTTAAGAACGTTGTTACAAATGGATTTTATTTATTTCAAAATTAAGCATTTTAATACAAACTCTTGTTCCAAACAGTTACATTTAAGGCTTTTAATCTACTGTATATATTCAATCTTAAATACTCTTAAAAATGAATTAAGTATTTTTTAGGTAAACTATGTCTAAAGTACTTTTTCTGACAGTCTACCAAATTAACACATGTAGTACAGTAAACAGACTTTTACTAAGGACTTAATTTTATGCAGTTAAATGATGCCACCTTTATTCAATTTCTGAAACAATTCAGCTTGTTTTAGATTATTTTTCACTAGCTCAAAGTTAAGGAACTAAGTCTATTAAATGTCTTAACTTTTATGTATGCGTGCTTTTAAGTATACATGCATAATTCAACCTGGAGAGACTCACACAAAGAAAAGAAGTGATTAGAAAGATTTTATTGACATGAATAAAATAGGGCGCTCGGACCCTGGCAGAAGACATGATGGTGTAAAATGACAGGAGCTTGGAGGAATACCTGAGGAAGGGGATTAGAGTTGACTTCCCCCGGGGCCCGGACACTGGTGGTTGAATAAGCCAGAGGTTGAGAGCGTCTAAGAATAGTCTTAAGAGTGAGGGTGGAAATGGGTCAAAGCTCAGCTGATATGCTGAATGGGGAAGCTGGGACTGTCCTAATGAAGACCATCTTGAGAAACCATTGGCTTTCGGAGAAGGGGCTGTCCGTTGTCTATTGGCTGAAACTGGATGGAGCTATGTCAGCAGGTGTTCCAGGTGAAGCTGATAAAGAGTCTTTTGCGTTGATTTTTGGATTAGGCTTCAATACAGTCCATCTAAATATACAAGCCTCCTCAATTTGCTTACATGTGGATGCATGGTGAGCTTGAATGTTATTACCTATCTGTTCATAGAAGCACCACTATTAATCAACCTATTAAGCTTTCTTGTAAAACGTACCTGCTATTGGCTCTTCTTTTAGCTCATACTATTAAAGGTGCTTTAAATAACCTTTAATCCCTTGTAATAAAGCAAAATCTCTCATTAAGTAACTACCCTAGGAGGTGAGCTAATTTTCTGTAACATTAGTGGTAATAAAGTTGTTTTCAATGTAACAGAAACTTGTACGTCAAATAGAAAGAAAAAAAAAAACAGATGCAGATTCTGGGTAATAAAATAATTACTAAACAAGCTCTGTTTTACTGAGCTGGAATACCTGTTAACGGTTGCCACAAGTTGACAGACTCCATATAGCAGAGCAGTCAATAAAAAAATGCAACAAAATATTTTCTGAAATCCAGTCCAGTCTTAAGTTCAGTAAACATTCAAGTAAATTAATGAAACAAAAACATAACAGCCTACTATTCTTCTCCCAATCTTTTCTGTAGAGTGAGAACAGATTAAATAATTTTTCCTCATGTAAATGTAGGAAAAGAATATGCTGTTTCTAGAGCATTTGCGTATATAGAGGTTAAAGCGAATATGAGCATTTAACCTTAAACTACTTCTTCAAAAACACTCCTCTAGTTTTTAAGCAGAAGAGTACATCATCTGTTTCCCTATTTCAATACCATTCAACGGTGTGCAGTTTTTCAAGTAGTTGTTTCGGTGTGACGTTCAGTGTGTTGCACCGTGTGAGGGATTGTTTGCTTCTTTAAGTCTAGAGAAGTGAAGCGGTGAAAGGGCTTATTACAGGCTTTATTAGGTGAAGTCAATGCTCCGGGCCTGAACCTTGTTTAGACTCAGTGGTTCTCAGCAAAGCATTTATTATGCTTCATCAAGAATGAATGAAAGGCCTTACCTTTACATTTTTCTTTCATCAAAAAGCCTTGACTCCCACTGTCTCCTGACATGACGGCAGCATAAATCACTGCAGCTGTGAGAATTTTCTCCCCCCCCTCACAACCCACCCACAGCGATTGGCATTGTGCACTCCTTCATTTTCCTATTTCTCTCATTTCCCTCTATCAGTGTTCCTCACCAGCTGCCCTCACCTCCCACCCAACTCCTAACCCTTACTCCTCATTTGCCAATATCTTTTTCTCATTTCTCTCTGCTGTCAGAAATCATAATATCCCACATGAACACATTCCCAGTGCTTCTCATTCACTGCTGAAAAATGGAGCTTGGAAGCCACTGAGTTACACAATACATCCCCTCTCGAAAATTGGCTCAAGAGATCCAGCTCTAAAAGCATCATGGGAATTCGGCGGATGCCATCATCACTCTCCTTGCATTGCTCTCTAAGCTCGCCTAACTCCAAGTGCTGCTGGGTAATTTGGAGGCTGAAAGCAGAGTAATTAAATAGGCCTTCCAATGAGAACATATTTGTGTTTGTGTGTGTATTTGTGGGTGTGCACGGACTGCTCTCAGAAAGTGGAGGGAATCTGTAATCGTTACCCCACATAACTTTCTGCATTTGTAAAAGAATGACTCACAGTGCAAGATATTCTTAGTTTTGAAATCTTTTTTTTTTCTGGTCCAGTACCCAGCTTTCCAGTACTGTTTTAAAACATTTATATGAAGACACACTGAAAGCTAGCACTGCATTATGCATTGAAGAGTTTAAATGCAAATGCTTTTATAAAGTTTAGATATTTGCTCGTCTTATGATGTGAGAGGTAAATGTAATTTTCCATAGGTATAAAAAATGAGCCCCAACACAAACACACTGATCTTACTTTACTCATCATATTTTCTGCATTTAAGCATTCAAAGTTATGTTATACACCATATTTAGGTGTCTGCAGGGAATCATAACCAAGGTTTATGCTATCCAGCGCAATAAAGTAAACACTGATCATATTACCTATACAATTTTGATCTTTACCTGTAACTATCATATTATATGCCCTCTTATTGGGCAAACAGAAATTGATTAAAGGTATTTTGGAGGATTTTCTCAAACGTTTTAAAAGACCCATACCCTCAACTTAAAAAAAAATAATGCACTTGTGAGAGCATGCACGAGCCTATTTCTCCGCGTGCGCACTCTGTTTAAAAGTAGCTGTTCTCATAGCTCATACAAGCTTACTGTGTCCGAACATCCACCCCAACCCCTAAATCCCTTAATCACTATATAAGACTGACTTTATAGTGAACTCAGTCAACTGACCGTTCAGACAGATGATCACATGATCAGTTCCCCATTTTTCCACTGTGCTTTGCCTGCGGCATCTTTGTTATTAGTCACCACTGTCGGGTAGCGGCAGCCTATGGCGACAGCGGGCCGCTTTGACAGCAAGTACCATAATGCTTTGCAAGGAAAGCTTTCCCATCAAAGCATTC